AAGTGAACTACAAATGTGGTTCAACGAAAAAAAACACGTGAAACGTGATTTAAAATAACACAGGACATCACTTCGTCAATGACGTCGCAAAACACGTTTTCCTTAAACGGGGAAGGGTTGCAAACCTTAATCTTAGGAATTTTTGCTACCAAAATGTTACATAAACAGTATAAATCGCAAATTCGCCTTGTAAGATTGGAAATGTTATTTATCCTATTAGCTATTTAACTGATTAAAAAGTCACGTGACCCTTTTCCCTTTATTTACCGATTCCTATATAACGTAAACACACATACAAGGCGAATTTATTAGAACCTTTTTAATAGCCTCTGAAATGTACCTAAAAGAACTTGTTGCTCTTTCATTATCCTTTCCCCATTTTAGAGTAAATATGTTGACGGTTAATTCTCAATTATCAGTCACGTGACGAAAATTTGAGCTTCGAAAATGCACTCATATTGGTAAGGACATTAAGTCTCATTTGTAGTTCAATTTTCAGGATCATTGATAGAAGCAAACCGTTCTAAATAGCACTTTACTACATCTAAGACAAAGAATTTGCTGAGACTTTTTGAAGATTTTAATGTGCAAAATGTTATTGCTGAACCAACCCGCATAACTTATACCACAAAGTCATTGATTGATCTTATTGTTACCACCAAGGTGGATGTTGTGCGATGCACAGGAGTAATGCCACTAGGTATATCCGACCATTGCCTAGTGTATGCAACGCTTACATTGGGCAGCAAAAGACCACCGCCGAAGATTATTCGCACCAGAAACTTTAAAAATTTTAATGCAGCGAATTTTAAGGCTGATATTGAAAAGATTCCTTTTCATATCTTGGAAATTTTTCATCACAAAGACGATGCGCTCTGGGGATGGGAACAATTGTTTAAAGATGTATGCAATGCTCACGCCCCGTTTAGGATGTGAAAGTGAGAAGTGTGTCTGCTCCGTGGATTAACAACACAATGAGGCACAAAATGAATCGCAGATTTAAATTATTCAAAGAGGCAAACCGGACAAAGGATCCTAGCAAATGGGCTGCATATAAGAAACTTAGAAATGAAATCACAGCTGATATACGCAGAGCCAAGGCTAAGCATTTTAAAGATCTATTAGCTGATGTCAAAACCACTGCAGAGTACTGGAACCTGCTTTCAAAGGCGAATAACCCTAAATTAAGGAAATCGATAGGTCCATTGAAAAGAGAGGATGGATCGCTCGCAGTTGATGACAAAGAAAAATCAAACCTGGTCAACGATTTCTTCTCTAACATCGGAGAGAAACTGGCAGACAGTTTCCAGCCCCAATATCTATCTCACCAGGCCACGTCAACTAAGATTGTTCCCTGTGTCAATAACATTGCACTATCGCCTTTGCCCATTGAGAGAAAATTAGCTAATGTCAAAACAAATAAAGCGACGGGACCCGACGACATATCACCGAAAATAGTCAAGGAAGCTGGAGATGCATTGCTGTCCCCGTTGATGTTCCTTTACAATATGAGTTTGAAAGATGGTTACGTCTTTAGCCAGTGGAAGACTGCGAGAGTCAATCCTGTTTTTAAAAAGGATGACGAGACTGAAATCGGAAATTATCGCCCCATATCTCTTCTCAGTGTTCCGAGCAAAATGCTCGAAACCATTGTTGCTGATTCGATCATTCACCATGCGTTTATTGAAAATAGATTAATTACAGACAAACAATGGGCTTGCAGGAGAGGATATTCTACAGAGCTGTTGCTAGTACATATGACAGAAATTTGGAGGAGTGCCATTGATTCAAATAAAGTTGTTGGTATAGTGCTGGTAGATTTCCAGAAAGCGTTCGACTGTGTCTCCCATAATGTGCTATTACGTAAATTAGAAAATGATTTTGGAATTAATGGAATGCTACTCGACTGGCTGCGCAGTTACCTTGACAATAGAAAACAATATACTGTCCTAAATGGTATAGCATCAGATCTTAACACTGTTAAATGTGGAATACCGCAGGGTTCCGTTCTAGGACCGACCTTATTTTCTCTTTACACAAGTGATTTACCTGAAGCTATAACCACTGCGACAACCTACATGTATGCTGATGATACTACCCTATATTGCATTGGCGATTCTATCGACGCAGTAATTTCTGAACTTAACAAAGCTTTGGAAGAGCTTCTATACTGGTGCAAAACTAACTCCCTTGTGCATCATCCAAAGAAATACGAAGCAATGATCCTCCATCGTGGAAGATTCACTGGCCCATTGAAAGAGTTAACGTTGGCCCAGCACACCATCAAATGGGTTGCACACTCTCGTCTATTAGGCGTATTGATAGATGATCAACTAAACTGGTCTAAACATGTTAGTGTTGTTAAAAAAGGCTTTGTTGATAAGTTAAACTTGTTAAAACGTAGCAAATTTCTTCCAAAGAATATGTTATTAGACTTGTATTTTAGAGTTATTATGCCGTCGATCGTATATGGTATATCAGTATGGGGAGGCCTCACAAATAAGGAAGGTTTTAAGGCATTAGAAGCACTGCATTGTAGAGCTGCGAGAATTATCCTTGAGCTACCTTGGGAGATATCTAATGCAGATGTTATGAAAAAGGCTAATTGGTCTTCTTGAGCCTTTATGTATAAAATTAGCTTAGCTAAGCTTATGTATAAAATCCACAATAACCTGACTCCAGACGCTATGTAAGCTATTATTAAGAACAATGATAACATCAAGCGATATCAACTTAGGAAGAAACTGAAAATTGATGTCCCTCGTTTTAACACCAACTACATGAGGAACTCTTTAGCTCGTAGAGGAGCAATAGTTTGCGAACACGTTGGTTCCTCAACTTAATGACGATATAGACAATGTTACGAAATATGCGATTATGGCAAGACGGTCAAAGGCTCTGCTACACCTAGATTTCGACTGTATCTCCCCTCAAACATTGACCAGAAGGGAGGAAGATTTTAAGTATAATTAGTGTTAATAATTAGTCGATACTAGAGTACCACCTTGTACTTTAGAATCTTAAGCTTTTATCGTTTTAGACTTGTAAGTAGCTATATGATTTTAGCTGGTGTATATCCTATTTATTTTCTAATTCATTAATTATCTTATTTAATTATTTAGACACGACCCCACAAGCGAAGCGTCGCTTTAAATACTTATCGTGTATAAATAAAGATTATTGATTGATTGATTTATTATCAAAATATGCATATTTAATTAGATAGTCATGCCTTAAGTGGCCTGAGACTCTTGACCAGTGTTTCAAAACAAAAATTTAAGTTTCCATCGATTATCTTTTATATCTACAGTCGGCTGAATGCTTGAGCTTTTCAATTCAGTGACGAACATTAGAACAGATTCAAAGGTCGTTGCTTCGATTATATATTAATCAGAGGAGAAATTATGCTGTTATGAGCACCTTCTTAATTGTGACAACGGTGGAAACTGAGCAAAGCTGACTACCGCGCAGTAACGAATAAATATAATAATTAGAATATCCCCTAGCAACTAATTTAATAGAACCACACTTCTTTGCAAAATTCCACACACAAATAATATCAGCTAGTTTCACGGGTCACGAATAGTGGTAACAAATATTTTTCGCGTTCACGTAAAAGTTATAACACAATTAGGCGTCACGGAAAAACTTTTCTTAGAACCCGTACTATTTCAACCCCTAACATTTCAGGCAGATCGTGTAAGCAAAATAGGAACAATTCCTGATACAGTTACCAGAAGTTAACTCTTTCTTCGTTATAGTAGCACGTAGGATGAATATGTAACTTAAATGATATAACAAACAAGTGAATAGTGTTTTTCGCGGGCGCTGATTGGCTAGCTATAGGGTCCTTCAGGTGCAGTCGCGTACTTTTCAATTCCGAGCAGCCAAAAAGAAACCAAACATCTTTGTCTTCAAAGTTCCGAACTGCACAGTTTTTCTTGAGTGGAGTGTCGGATCCAAAACTGATTTAGGATCCTAATATTGACAGTCGTCAAGTCTTTCGTTTCGTTCAGCAAATTGTTTGACTTCATTCTATCGCCTAAACTGTTATGCTACAAACGTATAGTGATTTTTTGGTCCACCAACTAGGGTGGCATACATTGAACGCGTAAACATAATTATTCACCTCAGTGTCGGTGAAAGAAGTAATTCTTTACCAAGCAACTTCCCGGCTCTGTAAATATCCACCAGCATTCAAATAACTCCGCAGAACTTCGGTAATAATATTATTTTATTTGTTGATTTAAACGTGTCTTCTTTAAGGGAAAACATTTCCAGAGCACTGCAGGTGTTTCCTGGGATAGTCAGCTTGTCTTCAGTTACTGGCCGCTCCTTTCTGAGTGTCTTGTTAGAATACTGAAATAGCGTGATACAATATATAAAATAGGCTTTATTTAAATATCAAGTACACAGCTAGTACACACACTCGTGTACCCGCGTTTGCTAGACCAGGAATAAAAAATATAAATAACAATATACTAGAAACGAAGCTTTTCCTAAAAGGACGTAACATTTTTTTTTTAATTGTAGGTTTCACCTCGTATTCAGTGAGGTCAAACTAAATTAAACGTCAGCTGATCGGGGATTGGACATGGGGTAATTCTGTTGCCAAACAATTGGGTCAAATAATTCTAACCATCATCAGGGGCGTTTGTGGGTGTTCATAGATAACAAAGTAGGTTAAAGCTCAGTCTTCTTTCTTTGCGCAATCTACCGACGTGTCATTCAGCAAATTTAAGAAAAAATTGCTTATGTCTCTATCAGGGCATTTTTAAAGTTGGTCAGCTTTCTTGAGTTATATGGAGCCCACTCGAGACAAAATTATTTTGAATGAAGGGTACAGTCGAACCACCGCTAAACAACGGCCACTTTTTTCGTCCCGGCGGACAAAAAAAACATACATTGACTCTTTTTTAAAACCTCTTTACAACGGCCACTTTGTTCTGCCCCCAAAGTGGCCGTTGTAGAGAGGTTAAACTGTAATCGTAGAAAGCGTTCACTGAAGCAATGAGTATATGTACACCCACCATAACAAACAGAGCCCCAATGGAGGGGGACTTGTTCAAAACAGAGTCTATGGAGTTCAGACTTTTCAGAGCACCTTTGACTCTCCAGTGGTCCGGTTTATATAGGCTACGAAAACCAGAATATGATAAATCATACATGAGCCTAGCAGCACTAACATTTCCCATGGCGAGAAAAGCATTACCGAGGAGATGTCGAGTCTCTGCCAAAAGGTGATCCCTAGCGTTCCCTTTGTCCATTCTCAGGAGAGTCTCAAGGGCTTTCATGTGTAGGTGCACTGCCTGTTGGGGCTGTCTCAGCGCACAATAAGCTGCACTTAGACTGTTCAATGTCGTTGGAACAGAGGTGTGATCATCACCCCAGGTTTGCTTAAAAATGTCCAGCGCTCTTTGAAGAACCTTTGTGGCTTTCCGTGCTTCGCCAATGCGGGTATATACCACACCTAGGTCATTCAGGGCCTCGCCTACTATAAAATGATTTGCGTTAAAAACTTTTTCCTTGACACCTAGTGAGCGTTCTAAAAGTTCCTGAGCTTTTTGCAAATTTCCCTTGTCCCTGTACATAAATCCCAGAAAATTTAACGCCTCGGCCACATGAGGATGGTTAGATCCATGGAATTCCTGGAGTATTTCCAATCCGAGTTCTGAATAATATATCGCCGTGTAAAACTCTCCTAACTCTCTCCGTGGGCCATATGTTTGCTGTAATATTGCCAGTGACTGATTATATAGTTGCAGAGCCTCACTATGCTTCCCTTGACGACTATAGACTACTGCCAAGTTGAGAAGAGACCCTGCGATGTAGGGATGACTCGGGCTCAGTAATCTTTGCAGTAATTTCAATGAGCCCTCGTGGTATGCTTGTGCAAGGTTTAAATTAGCGAGATATCGATATATAACACCAAGTTTTTGAAAAGTTGTAGCTCTTTCAAGGACAGATTCCTTTTGCTCTATTTGGCCTTCACTTGCGTTGTCTTTCACGAGATTGTAATTTTGCCCCCCACTTTTACGATTAACATCCAATGCAAGTCCATGAAGATCTTTTGACTTGTAGGGATATCCTAAAGTTCGATACATAGACCCTAGAAGGTTTAATGTAACTGAGGTATCTCTACCTTTAGATGTATTGGGCACCATTTTTAGTACCCCAGTGAAAGTTGTATTTAGTGCCAACATGAGATCTTCATTTTTTGAACTTGTTGCTCCGCTGTGTAAACACACTACCAGGAGCACTATTTGCAAATCATACCGGTCACCTCTGATTGTCTGCAAGTTTGTCAAATTTACAACTTCGTTGAGTCTGAACACGTTTGTTGCTGGTTTTATTATGGCAGGCCCGGAGAATCCTGAACTGTGCGAGACAAATCGTAGAAACGTATCTGTAAAACGGGTTGACATGATATCGGCTACTTGTAAGTGTTCCCTCGTAGAAAAGACACACATCGAGGACAAAATTTCTAGACATTGAGAACCAAAAGAACTGTTAGGGTCTGTCAAGGAAGTGTTGTACACATTTGAGATGGTTGCGTTCAGTTGGTGTTCAAAAGATAAGGCGAGCCTTGAGAAAATACCCAGTAGTAAGACACGGCTTTCAGGATTGCTTGGAGGGGCAACAGCAGTCAGATTACAACATGTCGAGTTAAGGCAGTTTGGTTTTTGCTACTTACCTTGCAGACCTGTCGAAAAGCTTCACGAATCACCTGATGGCTAGAGAGGGTTTGCTTTCCTTCTTTGCCTGCCACCTTAAAAAGCACGTTTCTTAGAGAGTTCCGAATTTGAGCTTCTGTGAAGTGCTGGTGAGAATTCTTTTTCAAAAAATCCAACACATATGCCAAACTGAGTGGGGAGGTGTCGGTGTAACCAATACAAGCAAGATCTCGAATCACGGGGTCATTTTGCGCGCTGAGATTCACAGCTTTGAGAACTGCCGCGTACATTGGAATTGAATATTTCGAAGCGTCACTTTCTCGCCACTCAATTTCTTCTTCCATTCCAAGAGAAGGAATATCTCTTTTAAACTCAGATATGTAATCCAGATATCCATAGTCTGCACGCTTTGGTGGACCTTCGCGCACACTTTCAATGTAGATAGCTGCTGTTGATAGTGCTAGAGGCTGGTGTCCAAGAATGTATGAAAGTTCATTGGCATGGTTTTCGCTATCCTCTTTCAGCCCGGTTATCGATTCAAGTAATTTGACCGAGTCAGTTGGTATCATGCCTTCATAAAGATCCTGTACATACACGTAATCGCTCAGCCTTTCTAAAGACACACGTTTTTGTACAGTAATGATGACAATAAATGTGGCGAAATGACTACTTCCGGGTTCGAGGTTGAGGTTGCTAAATAACAATTTCAAATCTTGTACGGTGTCAAAAATCAAAACAGGCTGGCTGTTTCTCTCCTCTAGTAGTTCTTTGAGTTTAGTAAAAAGGATAGAGAGTTTGATGTTGGTTTTTTGTACACCTTCGTTTGAAAACAAGTCAGCGAATTTGAAATTTAATTCTTCTTTTAGTTGCTTTATGCCATCCGCCTTTTTTCCGGAATGACTACAAAGAGCTAAAACCGCATCTGTCAGACTTGACAAAAGAGAAGTAACGCTAGCTGCATCAATGGTAATAACGTCCACCGGTCTTTTGTTTTGCTTCATTGATTCGAACAAACGACGTCCAACTTGTCTAGCAAGCTCAGATTTACCCGAGCCTGGTCCGCCGATCAAGTACACATGAACTTGTTTTCCATCATGATCTTTAGACAATCTCTTTATTTCTCGCGTCACGTTGAAAACTTCTTCCAGGCGCCATATCCAGCGATGTCTTGGAGGCCATGAAACCTCGTTGTAATAAATGCGCGACAACTCAGCCGGAAACAGAAACTGCCAAAGTTGAGTTGCTGGCGCTACGATCGTGCCAGCCAAAGATAATACAAATACCACTAATGTCAGTGCAACAATGAGGGAAACGGTATTTGGGTATTTGCTCCTGATTGGCTCCAAGACAATTGTCAGCCACGGACGATATCTTTCAGCTAACCTCCAAAGTAAAGAAGATAATTGTGTTTTCCAATTATCCGGTTGTTGTGCTGCCGTTGTACTGTCGTTTGACTTTGAGCTTGACGGCCTTGATGTTACTTTCCTTTTCTTAGCTCGGGTAGGGCCTTGAATTCCAAGAGGTAAAATTGCCCTCCCTGTGGAACGAGTGTTCGGAGTTGCTTGGCTTCGTGTTGAAGGCATCTTTAACCTGGGCCTTCATCGCTTCATTCTGTATTAACGCACCTGATATTTACCCGGAAGTGAACCGATGTTATTTCATGAAACGAAACGGCATAACCAAAGTTAAAAGACCAAAAAAGTGGTCATTAAATTGCCCATTAATCGTTTTTTAGAAAAAAAAAACTTACGAATATCAAGGAACTTTGTCAGGATTTGTCGTCGCCTGACATATTTGAAACCACAATCCTTTTGTCCCGCGCTCCTTTCAGCATAAAAATTCCCATGACCCCTTGCGCCGCGCCTGGATAAGGGGAAAGGAACACGTAAAATTTTATTTTCTTTAACGACATTAAATAGACCTTGTCACGGTTTTCGACGCCATCTTGACGAGTAGGCAAACGCGTGAGAAATTACAGTGTTTGTATGAGAATCTAATGTCGAATAATTTCGGTAGAACGACTGTTCTGAAAAAAATATGAATTGTAAACTAAATTGAATTGAATTGATTGTTTTGTTTGCTTTGTTTAAGGATCGGAACACCAATGTGACCTGACTGTGATCATGTAAAAATGCTCTATTGAAAAAGAAAAAAAAAAAAAACAGGCAAAACAAAACAAAAGAAAAATAAAATTGGGACTTCAGCTGGATTTCCACACGTATTCCTGTGAACAAAAAAATTGCACCTACTCCAACTATTGGAAATTAAAAAGAACATATCATTTTGAGAATGATGTTCATACACAGGCACAGGCACAGGCCAGTGGTGAATCCAGGGGAGGGGCCCAGTGGGCCCAGCCCCCCTTTTAATTTTAGACTAAACTGAGGCCAAAGAGCCAAAAAAAACTTTTTGGGAGACTGCGCCCCTCCCTTATCTAAGGGAGGGGGGCCTGGGCCTCCCCCTTATCTCAAGGTCTGGATCCGGCACTGCAGGCATCTGGTTTCTAGTCCAGAAGCTCTACCACTGAGCTACAGGAGACTTGTGGTAGGTAGGGAAATTAAACTAGGTACTGTATGTGACCGCCATGAACATGTTATCAGAAAAGCTTTCAAAGATTGTCATCCTTAACAACCCTGCATTTACCAAATGTTGATTCAAGACTGCGGCTTACATGCATATGTTGTAATTCAATTTTATCCTTGGAAATACGAGTTTAAAAATTTGTTACCATACATTACCATACCCCAAAACAAAGAGAGACAAAATTTAAACCAAGCTTAAAATTGAACCCCAACATATATATTTGGGGATCAGGAAAGTGTAGGGGAATTTTTGTTAGTGACTATAGTGTACATTTGCAACAAAGCCACAGGTAAATATCATCTTTATTTGAGCAAAACTGCTGATTTAGTGCTGGTAAAAAAACATTTACTTACAGAGCTTACAATGAATAAGAAGAGAACAATATAAACTGAAGATGCTTAAAATTAAATATGAGATATTCAGACATGCATTTTATGTTACTGACAGATCATTTCAGGAAATGAGAGAATTACATGTAGTTAAAAAAATACTGCACTACTTTAATCACCAGTTTATCAGTAATCTTGACCACTATAAAAATGTTTCTTTTTAGTGTCTTCAGATTATTATTGTAAAGACAAATAGCTTTAACTGTACAAAAACTGTGATGTTTGAAGCTACACTCTTTGCTCTGTGGACATCCCAACCACAGGGTGCCCACACAAGCTGATTGTGTAACTGTTCGGTATCCTTAATATAATAGTTGCAATTTTGCGCTTGAATAATAAATTTATTTCAAGTACACGTAGCTGGTTAGTCATACAAACAGCTTGTGTGAGCTCCCTGCACCTAAAACAAGATTAGCTGGTGGGCTTTGATTTATAGGTGGATAAAAATCCATTTTTTTTATAAGCTTCTTAATTCACCTTATCAAAGTTATGATAAACAGTGACAAAGGTAAGGAAAAAACTTTACACTTTGGATGTTATTGAAAAGCTTGTTTTTAAGTTGAGTTTGATTTATTAGTCAGTACAATTGGCCAGTGTGATAATTAATAATCACACTTCAGAAAAATCAGCAGCTCCCTGGTTAGTTTCTTCTGAACGTTGTTGCTGTGGCTGACGTTTTGTCTCTCTTTCATTGACCTTCGACTGAATGAACACCTGAAAAAAAGGAAATCACTTCTTTAAACCAGCTTCTTATTAACATGGACCTGCATTGTATTTGTAAATTTTCACACACATAAACACAATGTGCCAGAGACCAATATACACTGTATACAGTAACACTATGGAGAATCCTTGTTAATTCTGCCTCATTGAAAAAAATTATGCTTATTATTGACTAATGAAGCTAAAATCTCTGAACATTGAAGGAGCATAACAATTTCAGTTATCTCTAAACATTTGAGCCTGATATACCAAATCATTTCAGGGAAATTCTCTTTCAAAAACCCCAAGAATAGTTCATTAAAATTTTGCCACATAGCAATCTTGCAGTGCTTGATTGCCCATATTTCCTTTGTTATTGATTGCAAAGAGCTGAAAATTGCACCAACTTCTTAAATTAACCAGTTCTTTCAACATGTAAGCGTAATAATTGTACATGCAGTGAAGTCTTCTATGGGTTGACTTTGTATGCTAATGACCTCTGCAAGGATTCGCCTAATACATATAAGAGAAATGAGAGATGACTTATTTCTCATTTGAAAGTTTGTTATAATTATAATACTTTGTTATAATTATATATAATACTTCTACCCAACCAACATGTACATGTATCATACCTTTGATCCATCAATGAAGTGACTTGGCTCATTGAGTGCTTTTTCTGCAGATGCAGGAGAATCAAATTCAACAAAGCCATACTTTTTTGATCTTCCAGACTTATAGTCCTGTCAATGATTACAGAAATAATAACAATGAAGTATATAATTAATTTTGATCAAAAATTGAAGATGGACTGTTACTTTTTTGTGTATGGTCTTGCTTCAAAGGACACAGCTGTGTTCTAAGAAAAACTGTTACATTATCAGTCTAATTATTCTTCTGAACCTTGAAAATTCAGGTGTGCAGCATTATAAGATGTGCAAAAGTTAACAATAGCTTATAAAATGGTTGACAAAATATGGCAAAAGTTACTCACAGGAGTCATGGCCATATATTATGCTAATTCTCCTGGATACGGCACTGATCTCTGACTCTCCTGAACAGATGGGTCACCAAATCTCCCAGATAAATTGGACTTTTGAGCTTTTCTGTGCTTTAGTTGGAAATTTTGCCCATTTTTTTTGTTTTAGTTTCTGGGCCATTTTTGCACCTAAAACACTGACCAAAAGACCCCCACCATCTATGCAGGCTATCTTTTTCATGAAAGGGGAACTTTCTGAAGTGATGTTCTTGATCAGCTTTGTATTGCAAGGGCGGATGCAGGATTTTTTTTAGGAGAGGGTGCACTCGTCTCTTGCTCTACTTCAACACCAATAAACCACAGTTTTTTTTTTGCAGAATACCAGTTGTATTAGAAAACTGCAGGTCATCTAAGGGAGGGGGGGTGCGTACCCCCTGCACCCTCCTCCTAGATCCGCCCCTGTATTGAACACCCTTCAGTTCCCCTTATATTATTTTGTCAAGAAATAACGTTACATTTTAAAGTTCTCCAGACCTTAACCAGCATCTTTTTTTCAAAAATGACAGTAGCATACATGTGCATGTATATCCTCGCAGGTCTGCCCTAACCCCAACATTTATTTTTTACCAAAGTCTTTGTAAAAAACACTACGGAATTGGGCCTATTGATTTGCGTCAATAGTGAATGCAAATTTTTCTGTAAATCAAATGTCTCCTATTATTTTGTAGGTGGAAATTGGTGAAACACCTTGATTGTTTTGGAGACAATAAAAGAACAAAAGATTACCAGAATGATCGTCAAGTTATTTCCATGTTGCTGGTGAAGCAGCAAAAAATTATGCTGAAAGTATTATAAGTAAGAATGCCACTATTTTGAGCAGTGGTAAGAATAATGGGAACCCGCCTGTATCTATCTTCATTAATTGAGTTTACAGCATTTTTCACTACGGAATTCCAGAAAAACAAACGAGAAGTCAAACGGTTTGAATTGCACTCTAAGTTGTCTTCATCAGCATGCAAATTACCTATCCTTTCCACCAAACTGAAATATCCTGGCTTTTGTTGTCTATTTGCTTCACTTACACTTACATGTATATGCAAATTACCCTTCATTCAGCGGATTTTGCTGGAGACAAAAATGACACCTTTGATTTCCCAGATCAGATGCTTGCCTTTTTGGGCACCCTGTTCACTTTAACTATCAAGATTTTTTAAGCTTCACTTCAGAATTTTCATTCCAACATTTTAAAGCAGGGAAGTTATAATGATGGTTAATATTTAATATTAAAATTATCATTTGTCTTTAGGGAATACCCAAATAGGCTTAACTGCAGAATACCCTGCCACTCCAAAACACATCTAGAATCCGTGGCTACGCGGCTACGGAGCTACACCGCTAGGATGCTAAGTGGCTACGCGGCTACGGAGCTACACCGCTAGGATGCTAAGTGGCTACGTGGCTACGGAGCTACACCGCTAGGATGCTAAGTGGCTACGTGGCTACGTGGCTACGTGGCTACGGTCCGAGCTACACAGCTACGCAGCTTAGTGGCCTGGCGACGGCTTGGCGACCTGGGCACTACATGAATATATCTCGTTCTTTAATCCATGACCCAAAACAAGTGCGCTACACATGAATATATCTCGTTCTTTAATCCATGACCCGAAACAAGTGCGCTACACATGAATATATCTCGGTCTTTAATCCATGACCCGAAACAAGTGCGCTAAACACGAATATATCTCGTTCTTTAAACCATGACCTGAAACAAGTGCCCTGGTTTCGGCTCATGGCTGCAAGATGCAACTTATCACACACAATGCCCTCGATCAAAAGACCACATTATTTGGCCGCCTAAGCAACCAATAACTGCATGATATTTTCAATTCAACCAAAAAACTTTACTTAACATGAACCAAAACTCCTTTATTTAAATTTCAAACTCTTTCTGCAGATAAACAGTTCTTGCAACACAGGGCATCATACAGCAAAACTGTGTCATATAATGTACAATACTTTCAATTAACACAACTCAAAGTTAAACGTGTTCATATTTGCTCTTACACTGCTTGAACCGATTCGATAAGATTCTGACATATTTTCAGGAAGTGCATTCTTCTGATTATTCAAATTTGTAAATTTTCTTAATGTCATTTAAAAACACTTTCCACAAATCTTCTCCACTGTGGATATATCGCCATTTGAACTCAGCTAGGTATGATGAGTAGTGTTCTTTTTTACAACCGTGCGTCGGAAGCTTCGCTTTCATTTGCCGCCAATGCCCCTCTATCTTGTTTGTATGGAAACCCTCCTCGTTAACGAACTCCACGGAGTGGTTTACTGTCTTATGGATGTACCCATGTTTTGAAAGATTCACGTACCCCTTCCAGCAATCGGACACAATTGTTGTTCCTGGTTCAATCCATTCTTTGATTAGATTTAGCAAAGTTTCCTCCGTCCTGTCTTCTACGGTCGCAATAAAACATTTTCGTGAATCTTCCTCGATGCCGCCAAAAACCCACTGACCCTCCACTACATGTCCACGATGGTACTTTCTCTTTCCAATTTTGCTTTCATCAATCTGAACCAGTTTCCCTGGACCGCCAATTTTCTCCCTTCCATCGAACAATGCCACCTCACATACTTCACGACAAAACATGCCCCAGTCAACCGCTGTGTGCGAGCCAAGTCCAAGCTGTTGTTTAATTTGCCACTGGTTTAAGTCCTGGCACCACCAGTACGTAAATTTCAACACCTCTTCAATTGTCATGTTCGAATTTTCAAACCAACTTCCTTCTCTGATGCTCATCTCACATCTATGCCGCTTACCATTAATCTGCCTTCTACATTCCCAGATGTAGCCATCCGATCGGTCTCCCCGCCGAACCCAATTCATTTCCGATCCACACATAGTGCAATTTCTACTCGACGCAATCAGCCCTTCTTCTCTTAGCCATGACAGCGTGAACTCTCTGTCCCACAGGTAATCTCTTAGCAAATTTTCATATGATGTGAAGTTCTCTTGCTTCTCATTTCTTTGATAGCTTGCTTGAGTGCTGCCACACTGAGTGCTTTGATGTTTTAAATCAGCTTTTCGAACACCCAGTTTGCACTCCACATGTCTTACGACGTACAACAGTATACATTTTCCAGAACAGCATAAACGACTGCAGAGCAAACAACTAATTATCTTAACATTGACCAGCATGTATTAGCCCTCACTCAAACAAAGAAACTATATAAACGCTAATTTCTTTAATTTTCCCACCTCCTTTGAAGTGTTCACAGTCTTTGTTCCTGGCGCGTATTACACCAAACTACAAACAACACCTTCAAATCTCTCTAAGTTTTACACAACGCGGCTTCCGCAATTCAACAATTAACATCTTACATTATTATAAAAAAACTATTCCCACAGAACAGCATAACCATATATTTTGCTTTTAAGAACGCCTTTGTTGGTTTTTTTTTTTAATCACCATTCCGACGCAGGCGGCAGATTAATGAAATTTATCAAAACAACTACAAACTAACCAAACAGTAGTATCTGCAACTGAAGTGTTCACCGATTACTTCACACCCTTTGTTTAATCTCCTTATATACAATAACTTAATAGTCCCTTTGGGGATTCCTTTAGCTGCAAAATCGCTAAACTCAATGTAGAGCGCATCATTTGAGACAAACGCATCGTTCCAGAATGTCTACCCCGCGCCTTACGAAGCTTCGAAAACAACCAAACAGTACTTGGGCCCAACTTCAAAAACGCCTAATCGCACTTCCTGATCCATTTGAAACGCTTTTCCCAGCCGAAGTCTGGAGCTTTATTCTCAACAAGTCGCACTCTATTAGCACAAATCCTGGCTATGTTTCTTCCACTCTGATTACTACCACTGCGTTTATGGCTGGAACTGCAACTACACTGAAAACTGCAACACAAGAAATGCCACTCAACATCTATTCAATCTTCGTTGGCCCTCCAACAACTGGAAAATCACAAGCAATCAAGGAATGCGCTATATCACCCATGGCCAGTGTAACGGCAGAAGCAGATTCTGCAAGCCCTGTAATCCAGAAATGTACCTCGTCGGGACTGATAAAAACAGTCGCAGACAACAACAGAGGGTTCCTTTTGTCAGCCGAGATTTACGACGTCCTGTTCAAATTGCTAAAGTCTGACGAAAGAAAATGCCACTGGCGATGTACAAGCGCTATGTCAACTGTTCTCTGGAGAAGAGGCCTCCCACCGGTATGCCACTGAAAAACGCGAAATAGCAGCAAACACGCCTTTCTGCATCTTAGGGGCAACACAGATTCCATTTGCCGCCCGTCTAGTCGCCCTATTAGATCAAGGACACGGTCTTTTAGACCGGTTTTTAATTACATTCCCAAAGTGCTTGCGACCGACGCCAACGCAAACAAGCCAGGCAATCGAAGCCTTAAAAGAGAGCGGCCTTTCCAGCGTCGAAGACATATTCATGGAGATTGCTCGCCTGCATCTTTCACGTTCCACTTACACTCTAGACCAAGAGGCCACAGAAACTGTCAACACTATAAACGAACAATTTATAGCCGAGGTAAATGAAGCCATCTTGGAAGGCACAAGTCCGCCCAAGACGAAAAAGATCGACATCATCCTCTGTGTTGCAGCAGCGCTCCATATCTTTAACCACGTCACTGAGGAGCTGCTTCAAGGCAGGCAGCCCACACAGCCAGCAGACGAAATCGAAAAGTCTACACTTCTCTGCGCCATCGAATACGTAAATTGGGCTGAATCGCAGAAAGAAATTTTTGCTGAGGTAAGCGATATGAAATCTTTCTACCTTAAAATCCCACGATTACTTTCCAAACTATATACCTCAGATAACCCTTTTTATCTAGTTCAGGGGGTAGAGGAAGGGAAAGGAGTTTCTTAACAAATTATCAACACAGAACAGGGTACGAATGAATGACTGGAGAAACGAAATTAGTCTCATTTTCTCGATGGCGATATAGCGGACGACGATAGGTCTTCCGATTAACATAATACAAAACAATAAATATTTCACCTTCCCTAAAAGACATTTCACAAGGAATATTTTGAAAGCAAAACGAATCAGTCAGAAACTATTACATATTCATGTGTAGCGCGCTTGTTTCGGGTCATGAATAAAGAACGAGATATATTCGTGTTCAGCGCGCTTGTTTCGCGTACAATCGATTCAGTGAAGTGTAATGACAAGTGAATCGATTCTTAAAGTTTTAATTACATATTCCTAAACATATTTTTTTCCAGTTCCTGAATGACCTCATGTCGCCCACGATGGATGAAACAAAAGGTCAGCCAACCTTGATGTCCATTCAAACCGCGTGTCTTCATTTTGGTGGTCCACTTCTCACCTGCCGGGCCTTCAAACAGTGCGGCCCACGTCCTCTGCGAGGAATCGCAAATTCTGAGTTCACGGAAGCAGTCAACGCCCTTGAGCAAGCAGGCCTAGGAAAGGTTCGTTCCGTCCGAGTACGATTTGCACCACATCCAGTTCAAGTGTTCATCAAACAAAAACCTGAGAATGTCAACTGGCCCTCAGACTTATGCAGCCAAAACGACATAGATCCAAGTACAATCAAAATGCCAACAAATGTATCTCTACCGCTATCAAGCGGGCATTGATCGATGCGAACTTCATTCCACAAGAAATGTTCCCAGATGTTTAGATATGTAACACTTGCAATGAACAGTACAGGAACACAATATTCGTGTAAAGAACATTTGATGCGTATTAGCATATAGTTATTTCACAGTTTCAAGATTTTCGTAAATTCACCATTTTCAATACATTTTTAAACAGCTACATTTATGATCTCATTTCATAACGAATACAATTTTCATGTAAATTTTTGTAATTTAAAGTGAACTTAGTCATTTTCATTGCGATTAATAATGTAAATAAACATTAGCAGTATCAAAAACTATGAAATTGTCTGGTCGCCTTGCAAATACCACATTGGCCTCGTACTCTCTTAGCCCCGTAGCAACTTTTTGTCCTCCTAGCCGGGTACACAATTACCCTTTTAAGTCCGTAGCCAAGTAGCTCCGTAGGCAAATAGCTCCGTAGCCACGTAGCCACTTAGCCACGTAGCCATGTAGCAACGTAGCCACGTAGCCATGTAACTACGTAGCTTTGTAGCTCCGTAACTCCGTAGCCACGTTGCCACGTAGCCAAGTAGCTCCGTAGCTATGTACCTTCGTAGCTCCGTAGCCACGCAGCTACGTAGCCACGTAGCCACGTAGCCATGTAGCTACGTAGCTTTGTAGCTCCGTAGCTCCGTAGCCACGTAGCCAAGTAGCTACGTAGCTTTGCAGCTCCGTAGCTCCGTAGCTATGTACCTTCGTAGCTCCGTAGCCACGTAGCTACGTAGCCATGTAGCCGCGTAGCCATGTACCGACTTAGCATCCTCGCCCTGTGTAACTCGTCAGCTTTGTGGCCAAGTAGCCACTATTTTCAGAGGTGCAACTTTCCAGTGGCAGGGTATTCTGCAGTTACTCCCCCAAATAATTGCAACAAGCTCTACTACGAACATACTTACAAAGACAACTCTGGAAGATGTAACAACACCAAACTTCTGAAAGTATTCTCTTAGGGTATCTGTCAACATTAATCATTAGTAAACAAATTAAACTAAGATGAATATTATCATTTAGCAAGGTGTTGAAGGGGGGAGTGGTTGGAAAGGAGGAGACAAGGGAACGCAGCCCTTCTTTTTAGGCGGAATTATCATGAGAAACATTTTCTGAAGTGGTCCGGCCAAAAAACAGCTCATCAATGGGGGTGGACCGGGTAAAATAGCTTGACGTTAATAAGTCTGGCAGGATCTGTTCAGCCTCACCTAAGATACCTTCCATATGGAAGTGGGGTAGTGAGGACAGTGAAAAGGGGATAAAAGATGACGAAAACATGGAAAGTCCCAATATTTTGATGAGCCACGTGCATATCTCACACCACTGTGGACGGTAGACAATCTGTCGATCACCTCCCCTTGTTTCGCAAGAACTGACTTTGAGACCCTTCACAGCTTCACGAGATTTTTCCGATAACGTATTGCTAGTACTTTTTTATACGAAAAGTAAAAATCAGGAATCATACCACGACAGACTGTCCAGGGAAGTTTCGCGACAAAAAGTTGAGCACGACTTGACGCCATCTTGGATTTGACTAGTTCTGTACCAGGAACCTGGAAACTAGTTTTATGGAAAAACCGCTGAGCAGTAGTTGGACTATGCCCTCTTGCGTGGGCTCACCGGAACCGCGGGGAGATTGAATTTCATCGTGCTTCAACATGACGGTCCTTGGAGGAGCTAGGTAAGAAATTCTGCAGTCTTGATTCTTTGGATAGCGAATTTATGGGTGTTTGGTATTTTTTTAACTTTCTTCCAGTTCTTCGAGTAAATTCAAGTTGGATCGCTTGTTTTTAAAGCGGCTTTGGCGATGCCTTAAAGTGATGTTTCCGACATGGCTAGCCACCAGCTCTCTTCTTTTTGTTGTTTTCCTTGGAGTTTCCTTGGCAGGTAATATATTTAAGCCTCGCAAAAGGCAGGATTGAGATACCTGCGGCTGCAATTGTATCTTAATCTAGTCTACACTTCAAAGAAGCCAAATGCCCGAAATGTATTGCACTAATAATCATTAATAATTTTAATTGGCTTTCCTGGGGGTGACCCCGGCCGGGTACATTTCCAGGGATTTTCAAAAGACTACTAATTCTCGGGGATAAGGGCTACAAACATCTGAATAAACCTCCCTTCTCAGGGGCTGGGAGCTCAGAATATATGTACAGAAGCTATCGGTCAGGTCACAGGCGCAGTAGTGTGCCTAATAGAGCAGGCAGTTGAGGATGCCTTTATTATAGGGGGTGAAAGGCAAGTTTGTTGTTTATTTCATCTGCTGTGTGCAGTACACTGGCGAACAAATGTAAAAATACTAAGAATTCTTGAGTAATACTAAGAATACTAATACTGGAATACTGGCTTTCAATCCCACACTGTTTAGCCCAGGGATTTTGCTGTTTGTAAACCAAAGACGTATAATGCCCCTAACACATGGTGGGCCGTTTCCCAGAAATGCATAATGATCCACTCCTCCTCCCCATGTCCCTGAGAGCTTGGCAGCCTGCCATACTTGGAACAGCCTCCAGTCAAGGCTAAAATTGCAGCTAGAGTCCTTTTCCTGCAAATTTTTGTAAGGAAACCAGTTCCAGTTCATTTCAGTAAAAAAATCCTGGACAAAATTCCTTGGGACAGTACTACAGTATTGATATTTTTCTGTCATTTCTCAGTTCCCTCTTAAAACAATGCATCCTTTTCAAAATTTTCGTGCAGTTCTCCCTCCCCCCACCCTGTACATGTACAAAGTTGAAACTCGGAAAAAATTATTGATACATGCTTCTCAAACTAATTAATTATTCATGACGGCAATGGCCAATAACTGCGGCATATTTGCGTCACATGCATGAACCTTGATACTCAATGAACACTCAGATGAAAATCTTATAGATTTTGATCTGAGATCAAATATGGTTTTGAGGGAATAGCTTTTTTGACTAACTCGCGTTCTCCGTAAACTGTTTTTGGCTCCCTAAATCTTGCCTCTCCATCTTCACTCATGGTCAGACACCAACTACAGTAAACACCTACATTATAAGAACAAATGGATTAAGAAGACCAGGCTGAAATTTGGCCAATAAAGCCCCATTTTTATAAGAACAAGATCAGCCTGAAAATTGTAACATGTTCTTATAAAATGGAAAAAGTCTCATAATTAATGTTTATTCATCAGGCTGATTTTATTGATTGTGTTCATTTGTTAATATAATTAAATTACAGAATAATTATTTATTTTATTTTTCTAAAATATGCTAAATATACCTCTAGCAACATGTTTTGGATAGTATTACTAAATAAAAATTTAAGAACATTTTAAGAACATTTTGAGGCTGATTTGTCATTAAGCACCGATAAATAAGAACTCAATCAGCCTGACCTCCGAAATTGTGTGTTCTTATATGCGGGTGTTTACTGTACACCAAGACAATTAATCATGCATGTTGACGCAATGTTTCAAATTAGTGTTCTTTCATTTGGGGAGGACAATAGCAAAAAAATGTATCACTGCATATTTTTTTGTTTTGTTTGGGAAAGAAACAATACTTTAAAAGCACCAGGCCGCTTTCATCTGTTTCGTGGTGTTTGGAACCCCTGATGAAACCCGAAGCATGAGTTTTTGATATATTACATCCAATGTTGTTTGTGGGGTGAGGGGAGGGGTTGGACTTGTGTGAATTGGAAAACACCCCAGAAATGCAAAAGTGTCCCAAGTCTTTTGCCCATTATTGTCTGAAAATGAGGTGGGAGGAAAAAAGTCAATTTTGAGTGGTTTTCAAGCCTGTAAAAGTGTTTTTTCGGGCTTTGATGAAAGATTGTACACTGTAGTTGAACAAACCTTTTCCCAGCTTTCCAGAGTTTTCTGAACGTATTTGAAGAATTTGATTGAAACGAATGATATACACCAGAAATTGTGGTATCTCATAGCGTGTGCTTTATTCCAAAGGATAACATAACTTAAAACAAGACTCTCCGAAAACAGTTAAGGGAAGCCACGAGTTACTAATGTTATGGTGTACACAGTAAGAATTTTGGCAGACCATTAAAGAGCTAGAGTCGTGGATATATGACAAAGCACAAGGTTCTTTTAATACCTGGTATAGAAGTTACTCAGAGATGTCAACATTACAGTCATGAGTACTCAATGTGTGCACCGCGAATGTCAAAAAATCCAGTAGGCATGGAAGAGAAAATAACAACGTTTTCCAAAAGATCCACAGACAGAACGGCCATGAAAAAATATCAAGTGATGTGGATAGCCATCCCTGTCATTTGTACAGCCAAAAATATGACAGGAGCAAATGCAATTGTGACGTAAGAAAAAAGCGGTTGTTTCATAATATCCATGCCAGACTCATGCCAAAACTAAACAGTTTTTTGCTGACTTCACGAGAATTGTACCAGATCATTTTGTGGTTGAACGTGTTGCTAATATTTATATGTGTTTATTTGCTATATTTGTTATATTTGTCACGAACTAAGTAAACAACCAAGTTAGTTTACTTTGAACTGATTTACATAGCACGACAGCACTCACCGACAGTTCTCACTCCAAAACCTTAATAATATGTGCTTTTTCTATAGAATCTTAACATCTCAGGGATAATGAGAGAAAATTTATCCGTAGATACATCTTTTGATGGTTTTATGTACAGCAAAAATGCAATTTTCAGCTCTTTAGTCACAGTACTCACTTTGAAATGGAGAGAAAGAGGAACAAGATAATTTTTCCTTACTGAATCAAGTGAGTACTGTTGTATTCACTTCACAGGATGGCCTTTTTGACGCGCACTATTTCAAATGCAATTATCAATTTGTGGTTGAAATATACCTTAGCCATGTTTCTTTAGTTAATTTGTAGTGAATATTGATAACACACTGTGTTTTTGTGACCAAGTATGGTATGTGATACTCAAAACATCGTGCCAGACCAACTTCTGCTGTACTTGGCTCCAGTTTAGGGGAATGGGCCCAGTACTATGGCTAATGAGGGAATTGCCTTGTAAAAATGTTGAGAAAATAGTTTCAAAGGTCATTATTATTGCATGTGATCACCAACTTGTCTCCAAAATGCCTAAAAAGCGTAGGAAAAATGACTTTTTCCCCCAAAACCAGAATTCAGACAATCCTGGACAAAAATCGTTGGGACATAATATTTATATTTTTCTGTTATTTCTCGGTTCCCTCTTTAACATTGCATCCTTCCCGAAATTTTCTTGCAGTTCTCCCTCCCCCCACCCTATACAAAGTTGAAACTCGGAAAAAATTCTGGATACACGCGTCCCACATTGTTTGTGGGGTGAAGGGAGGGGTATTGGACTTGTGTGAATTGGAAAACAATTCACCAAATGCAAAAGTGTCCCAAGACTTTTGTCCATGATTGTAGTAGGTCTCTATTATTTGCCCACGTTGGGTACACGGGTGTGTTAGAGTGTTTTTGATTACTGTAAAAGTTTGTACATGTACACACATGTACATGAAGTTGTCTATCTGAGAAAACTGGCAGACAACAGCAAATCAGTACAGCTGTGTATGGAATTAATTTTCAGCGCTAAAAAAACTCATAATATTAATGGTTCCAATTTCATACCTACTTTTACACAATAATTTCATACATACTTTTACACAATAGCCCTGTCTACAAGACGCCTGGCTCCGCTCAGTAAAATATCGGGATATAGGGGCCCCTTTCCTGAGTTTTTACTGAGGGGAGCCTTGGGGCATCTCTACAGAGGCTTTTACGCAAACGTTTTCATCACGACTGGTTTCTTTTCTCTTTTGGCTTAAAATTGTTGTTTTTTTAGGTGTGGAAGATCCTTTTTTAAAAGTTTGTCAGTCTTTTGCTGCAATGTTCTGTCACACTGGGCCCAGCTTCTTAGCAGTTTTTGCAGATAGTGATTTTCACGTTTAGTGATTTACAGATCCATATTTCGAAGAATTGATTGCAGCTTAAACTGGAGCTAACTGAATTATGGCCAATTGCACTGTAACTCAGTCAAGAATGCTCTTTAAGCAATGATTTTTAAAGATAATGTGACTCTTTGGGTTGGATTGTGTCATTCGTCCTTTGGTAATTACTTTTGAATTAGCTTAACAGTCTTGTGGCTGCCAGTTTGATTGGCATGGTAAATTAAGGCGCGCTGTGCCAGAGGAATTTTCTTGTGGCTTCCCTGCTTGTGTCTTCAGCCTTCAGCTGAAAATGTGTCGGCCTGTAGCCGACAAAGCTCCTCGTTGCACGTGAGAAAAAACCTCTGGTACCCAGGGTATAGTCTTTTGGGTAACAGTTACAAATGTGCCCATGACATGCATAATTTATGTTTTCATTTTTAGAACAGTTGTTTGTGTACAACACTGGACTGATTCCAAGTCAATTTTATGAAGTGCTTGGAAGCAGAGATAGAACTGGATTTAAACATCTTTTGGTTTCTGCATCTCTTCTCATTCTCGGCACTGCTTTGGTGAGTAAGAAAAGGGATATTTGTAGAAATGATAGAAATGTGGTGCTGAATTTAAAGCCTAGAGAATGCATGTGAAAGATGTTTTTTCAGTCAGCAGTGTGGGAAGAAAGTGATGTCTGATAGCCTTGGGATAGTGTATTTTGCTATTAGGCTAAACAATTCTGTTCTTAACTTCCCCGAAGGCCTAATGAAGGTTTTTTGGGGAAGTCAAATTACACAAGAACTGCAGCCAATGCTTATTAAATTTTCTGTTTTTGGGCCAGTTGAAAATACTCTTGGGCTAGTAAACATGCTACCCAAACATTGGCAAACTGTAAAAAACTAAATTTCATTTGTCAGTGATGTAGGCAGCTCAAAAGAAAAAAACTGGGTATACTTCCGATATAGGAGTCAAACCTATGACCTTCTGGTTACCAGTGTTCAGCTCAGTAGGTAAGGGACCTGCAAGATGGCCAGTAAGGCAAAAAATGTGCACCATAGGTGCACTTTCCTGCAGAGGATGGGGGGCAAGTGGAGTGAGGGACATGGCCCTGCCCTTGCTGAGAAATTTAGGAGCTAAGCTCTCTGAAATGTCATTCCCTCATTTTAAGACCTATTTTAATGCAAATACAATGTAGCGCGTTGTTATGTTTTTTGATTTCAATAAATTTACTCCCATCTTTTAACAATGTTCTCTTTCTACAAATGTGTGTCCCATAAAAAGAAAATTAGTATGTTTCCATATGTAGATTGTATTTAGTCATTTTCCTTGTGAGAATTAAAATTAATTGGATCACAACTTCCTTTTTTTAAAACCTACTTTTCAAATTTTAGTAAACCTTCAAGTGGTTGCAGGGGGTAAGTGTTGCTTCAGGTGGTAAATTTTACTGGTTACTGCCTGATAAGGAGAACACTGGGTTACTAGTCCAGATACTCTACCACTAAGCTACAGGAGACTCCTGGGAGCTATAGGACAAACCTCCTGCATTCTGCTAGGATTGGAATGTCAGTATTTATTTGCTTATGCGCAATGATGGGAATGCGATGGTGAATTTTAAGCCTGATGAATACTTGTTTGAGAAAGTCAGTGAGTGACATAGGCAGCTCGGAAGAGAAAAATCAACGTACTCCCAATAGGAGTCAGACCTATGACCTTGTGGTTACTAGGGAGCTTCAGCATTGACAACGGCTACTTAAGCAAAAACTTCACATTTAAAATGAATTTGTGTTTTTTCAAACTTTGTCACGGTTATTCCAAATTGTTGAAAATGTAAAGTAGGCACATGTCCCTGAGTTGATTTCTTGGGGACCGCACTCAAGTTTAGGAAGAGAAAGAAAACTTCGTAGTCTCTTGTTTACAGCCTCCATAAAACGTGGATTTAGACATGTTCACGTCTTAGTCGTGCAATGAGGGCAAAGAAATGTACAAAAAAGCATGACGCATGTGGAAAATTGTTTTTTTCCTCAATAAAACTATTGTTTTTTGGATGTTCTCGTTGCTGTCGCTGTCGTCTTTGCTAAAGCTCCCTATTAGTCCGGATGATAACCTTTACACTGTAGCTTATAGATAGTGCCTTTGGACTAGTAGCCAGAAGGTCATATACTAGTTTAGACTCAATGCTTTTTAGGGGTATTCATGCAGATTTTTTCTCTCAAGCTGCCTGCTATCATCTGAAAAATATTTTTCTCAAGAAGTAAAATTGTAGGTTTGGCAAGATTATTGTATTACTTCAGGAATGCATCCTTTGATTTCGGGTTTACTGCTTTAATTATTTTTACAAATATTAAGATGCGTTTTTTATTAACTTTAAGGCCAGTCCCCAAAATTAATGTTATGTACATGTATGTGTTGAACAGTTATTTTATAATTGCAAAATATTTCTTATAGGGAAAGAGTGCTGTGAAATATGTCGCTAGGACCCTCTATGTCAAGTGGCGAGAATTGTTGACTGTGCGTCTACACTCTAGTTATTTTAGAAATTCTGCTTATTACAAGCTGAATGTTCTTCAAGACAGGCTGGATAACATGTGAGTGTGATTAATGTAAATGTAAGGGAAACTTAATAAGTTGATTTTATCACTCGGGTACAAGCCAGCAGGGATTGGGAAGGCAAAATAAACAAATGGGCCCACGGCCCCTGAGTTTCAAAAGTCGTGGGCCATTTCGTAAAAGTATGGGCCATTGAAGTCATGGGGTGGGCCGGATGATAGGGAATAAAGAAGTGATAGGTACAATTCGTGGTGGCAGTACAGTATACTTTGGTTTGAGTACCTACTTTTTACATTTCATTCCAGTTAGTATTTCTCAGTTACAGTAAATTGTGCATGATATGTAACCCTGGCCACTGTAACTGTCACAGTCCCATGGCTTAAAAAACATTATGTTACTGTAAAAGTCAACTCAAGAACTGAATAGTGGTAACAACTGTTAACAAATGTGGGAAAAACTGTTTACGATGAACTTTTAGTAAGCAAGATTGACTTATTTCAGTGCCGTTCACAAAAAAATTAATATAACTTTGATGGGTCATTCCACGATCATGGACATTACATTTGCATGAGTGTGGTTAGAGAAAAATCATTAGAGCAGATACATAGTAACAAACAACCATTCCCTTTCACTTTGTTTATGACAGATAGATGCTAGTTGCATGTTAACCCTTTAAGCCCCAATATACACATACAAATTCTCCAAACTGATCTCTATACATTTCCTTAAAGAATGAGTTGAGTGAATTTGACAAAAAATCAAAGCATTTCTCTTAGGTGATCATTTTATTAATTCTCATAACCTAGTCTCTTGACAATGTATGGATATTATTGGGAGAAAATTGATGTTGGTCACTATTGGGACTTAAAGGGTTAAGTGAAAACCTCATCAAATTTGCTATTATGCAAAAATATATATTTAAATAATTTTAGCTGTCATGGATGTTACAACCAATTAGAAACCACGTTCTTAAGTGCAAATGTTAAACATTAAATTCCTGTGAATTCTGCAAGCAAAAACTAAAAACAAATTAATGATATCGTGTTTTAGGTAAATAGTGATACTACAATAACAAAGCGATAAATATTTCTTTTGTAATGTGTGCCTTCTTTGCTTGGTGACAAAACACTGTCATGGACGTTACAGTGTGTAAAAAAGATAAAGAAATCAGTGATGTCAAAAATGTAAATTCCCTGTACCTTCTTTCTTTCCCACAAACATTAGAAAACTGGCCATTAGTTTTGAAATAGGCTTTATCTTTCCTTTAAATTTTCAGCTTTTTGAGGAAAAAACGTAAGTCACCAAGTAAATGTTTGTGACTCATCTTCAAACTGATTTTCATGTATTTTTTTTGTTCCATGATTTAAAATTTCAAAGAAGCTGCTTGTAGAAAAGGTGTTTTTTAAAGAAAAGCCTGGTTTCAAACTCTTTCTAAGCATTGCGATGAAAAATGGATACGTTTGATACTTGGTCTATTAATTAGAGTATCTTTCAGTTCCACATTATTCTCAACTTTTAGAGACTGTAAGCAATTTAAAAGTTTCAGCTATATTGACGATATGATATGTTTACTTTAAAAGATGAAGTAACTTCCACTTGACATTTTTGTTGACTATTTTAATTATTAATAACGTTGTCCTCATAATACTTCGCTATTGTCTTCAATAAGATTCTAAGTGCTCTCTTTAACTCCATAATAATATTCAGCAATGCTGAATATACCTTATTGTTGTTGCATACAGCTGTAACAAATTAGTATTAGAATCAGGCTTTTTAGGCAATTATTAGTGAGCTTCCTGCATTTATTGTTGTCATGATGTAACGTCCTTGAAAGTAACATGCATGAAGTTTGAGAAATTTAACATCAAATTTTTTTGTGTCCTTTTGGGACTGGTTGGTTTTGTTTTTCTAGCCGTATTGGGGTTATCATTTTTGATTGGAATCGGCTTTAAAAAAACTTGAAAGTTTTCTTTGCCCTTGACCATCTAATTTTGGAACTTTCTTTGGAGGCAGTGAATGGTAAATTTTATGGTAAATTATTCCAAAATTTTCAGGCTCGTATAGCCCTTCAATAATGCTAGGGCACTTCCGAGTTCCAAAAACCCTCACTTTTAAAATGAGTCCAAGTGCACGTCCTTTCTTGTGAAAATGAGTTTTATTTGCATGAGAATGAAAAATCTTTTCCATATCAAAGGCTGAGCATGCACTTAGCCTTGTTTTTTTGGCTTGGGGGAACTCGGAAATGGCCTATTTTATCACTCTTTAGCTTCTACGTGTCTGTTTTATTAGCCTGCAGTTCAGACATTTTCTGCGGGTGTGCGAATGTTTTTCCTCGTGAAAGCACCATGTTGAAACTCCAAAAGAGGGGCAAGTCAAAGGGAGGGGGGAGGGGGTGTTGAGAGGGAAGAGAAAATGCCTGCCTGTTTTTTTTTCTCCCCTCCCCCTTTCCCCTTTCCTTCTTTCTCCCTAGCACCTACACCCCTGTACCTTAAAGGCTGCTATTTCTACTCTCCCCAATGTTCCTCTGTCATTAAATCGAAGATGGCAGCTAAAACAATACGAACACAAACAAGCTTTCGCCCGCCCAAAATACACCTGCAGTGCAGGCTACTGTTTTACGGACTGTTTAAATCTGTGCTACAGAGGTGTTGACTGAACTTGGGCATCTTTCCTAATTTTCACTTTCCCTCACAGTGACTTCTTCTTAATGTTGGCATTGCAACCATCATGGAAAATTGCTCTCCTGTATAAACTGATTATAAATTATTATTGTTGTTATAAACATATCTGTAGTAAATATTTTAATAATTATTTTGCCTGCAACATTTTCCTGGTCACTAACTGCTTTCTCCATTATTATAATTTTTTTTTTTACTTTTAGCGATCAGAGAATCACACAGGATGTTCAGAAATTTTGTGACACTTTCCGGAAATGTAGCATTGTTTTTATCATTTCTCCATTCACCGTTGGATATTATACCTACCAGTGCTATAAAAGGTGACTTGCCTATTTCTTTTTTCTTTATTGTTATAATCTAAAACCTACCGGTATTTTCACACATCAATGCACACCTGGCCACCTTATAAGATGGCTGCTGTGTTGAGCCCAGTTTGTGCCTACAGTGTAGTTATCATCTAATGGAATCAATAGTGAATGACAAGTGTAATCAATTACAGGTGACTCCCGATAACTTGAATCTTCTAGGGAAGTCAAAAAAAGTTTGAGTTATCGAGAGTTTGAAGCAAATATACCCAGAAGTAAGGAAAAAAAAAATCCAAATGGATGGGGAGGTATTGCAATATTAATAAACAACATAGTATTCAGGGATGGGCTGCCAGTGAATTTGAACTGGAGTGTCTGGAATGTCTCAGATCTCAGTACACAGTTTTATTTCCCTGACATGCGTTTATAACATGGTTCGAGTTATCGAGGGCAAAATTATATATTATAGAAATGATCTTAAGGGAAGCAAAAATTGTTTCAAGTTAGTGGGAGGTTCAAGTTTTCGAGGGTTTAAGTTACTGAAGGTAAAATTGCAGTAAACTGTGTGAAGGAAATCCAGGCAAAATTGACATTGGTTAGAGTTAGTGGGAGGTTTGAGTTACAAAGGGTTTTCAAGAGTTATCAAGAGTCAACTGTATATCTCTCAATATTAACCCATTCGCTCCTGGAGATTTTGCCGAAAAACGCGTTTTGAAGCTAGTCGAGTGGTTTTCTGGTCACTGTCGTGCTATAAAGAGCTAAAACTTACCACAAACCGGTTTACAGGTGGTACACTTTGCGGCCTTCTGATCCAGATGCAAAATATCAGCTTGCAAAGTTCGGGCATGCGTAGAAAGCAAAATTTCGAGAGTTTTTGGGTTTAAAAGTGACACGGCAGTCTTGACTTTTACTTTTCGCTTTCTCTCCTCCCTTCTTTTTTCGCTTTTCTTGCCTCATTTTTTTTCTCTTGCTGGGCATTTAGTAGGCTTCATTTTGGTGGGAAGAGTTTTTAGGAAAGCTTTCAGGATCTTAGGATTAGGTGAAAGGAAAGGTAGGTGGGTAATGGAACAAGATTTTCATGGAGATTTTCAGGTCAATGTCACGTGGTTTTTTGCTTCTTTCTCCGGTGTCCTTGACTGAATTGTGCTCATTCTGGTATGGTTTGAAAGATCTTTTCACGCTGCACAAGTTAGCGAAGAAAGTTGTCCTTGACCGTTAAACCTGATGACGTCACAAAGGGTAGAAAGGACCTGGATGCGCATGGGCGGTTACGGGCGGTTCAGGGGCGAATGGGTTAATCAATGTGATTATTGACCCGTCAATAACTGTTTTGGAAAATCAATGACCAATCAAAGAACATTATTAAAATGTAATTATCTGTTGTTTGTTGTTTCCCAATTTTATTCTAAGCGCTGCAAGAAACATGACAACCCAACATTTCTCAAAGGTTATCCAAAAAATCATTTCAAATGCATGTTCATCGACTGTTAAAATTACAATTTGTGCCTTTGGAACATTGGGAACATGTGAACATGTTTTGGCGCTAGAGTGAATGCAGCTGTAGCGTGCATGATCTGGATCAGGATCAGTGATCCAAGATCACTTGGATCATGGTACTGACACTATAAAATAAACCAATGAATTCGTTTGATTTGCCATGATCCAAGTGATCTCAATCACTGAACCTGATCTGGATTATCCCAGTGGAACATACCTGTAGAAAACAGTTCGAGTTTTAATAGCGGGGGTTTTGAGTTAATGCCCAGTCGATTGCAAAATTCAATTTGCTATATAATTTGATTTATATAAATTGATAGTTACTGATTTTTCAGCTCTTCAGTGTATAGTGCAGTGCAAATTGAACTTATTTCATCAAAAAAATGTGTGTTTGGTGCACCAATTAAAATCAAATTGATGCAGTGTTGACTAGTGTTAGATTTAGTGTTTTTACCGATTAAACAAAAAGAAGAGCTAATGGGATGTCATCAGAGTGGAGTTTTAGGATCCAGACTTTGAGTTATTGGGGTAAATTAAGTGAATTTTTGATCAGGGGAAGTAAAATATAAATCAAGTTATTGGTGAATTCGATTTTCCGAGTTGAAGTTAACCAAGTAAAAATGACTGAAAAGTGGGGCAAAATCCAAGGGAAGTTTGAGTTAGCGAGGAGTTCGAGTTATTCTTGTTTGAGGTATCTGGGTTCTACTGTAGATGGATTTCTGATCTTGATTTTCTGGATCGTTTCGATTGACCACACTGTGGTAGAGGCAGGGCTAACGATAGAGTAAAAGTCAATATTAACCAAATTTTAACAAATTAAAAATATTATACTATTTGATTTGTAAAGAGATGCTGAATGACAGTTGCTTCCCCTCTAAGCTTTAGCCAAATATATTTGTCTGTTAATAAAAGTTACTGTAAAATAAATGTTGATATATATACCGGTATTTTGCCTTTTCATTGCTGCCTGGTAAAACCACAGACACAGACTTGCTTAGCTTGTGTACTTTAAATACCCTGTTTTGTTCTCAAATAGTGCTGGCTATCTTGGACCACTTCTCATTTATGCCTATTTCTTTGTTGGAACAATTATTAACAAGTTGATAATGACACCAATTATTTCCCTGGTTGTCAAGCAAGAAAAACTGGAAGGGGACTTCAGGTATTCAGAAAATAATTATGATTTTATTGCAAGTAAAATATAAAGATAAAAATGTAAAATAAGTTGATTAGTATGTGTAATCAAATGGTGACCAGTGAAATTAGGGAATAATTTTATGCGTGTTTTGTCCAAATCCTAATAATTTCCCGAGCCTTGATTTGGACAAAACGCAAGTGAAATTATTCCTTAATTTCACGAGTATACCATTAATTTTGATCACCTATTAATATCATGGGTGATGAATTACATTAGCAATCTTGGATTTTTGACATGTTTATACTGGATGGCATCGATCAAGAACTCCCTCTTGAGAACGTTTAGAGCTTAAATTTGGCTTAAGTTCAGAATTTTTCAACAAAATACCTGTTAGAATCCTTCTTGATGCGCTCTTTCATGCTCTTTTAAGGCGTCTTTTCATGCCCTGGCATCTTCGTTCATGACATTTTGAAACTTTGTCGCCATCTTGACACTGAGATGTATGGAAAGTTGCCATGGCAATTTTGTAATTTCACATGTGAAATTACAAATTATCACCAAAATTTTGCACCAAAATTATGGAGTAATTTGTCACCGATGATATTATAGAAGTAATGTCCATTACCTAGTTTTACTAGGGTGTGTCACCACCCTGATTGCATTATCCAGTTTAGGGTTTGTCACTGCCACCCTCATTACATGCACTCTATGGGGTGAGTTGCTACTACCCTCATTGTACCCCAGGGTGCACCCAACAATCTTTAGTCCCATTTACTACCAGAGATTGTGGCATCAACCAGACCCAGATCACACTGCATCCCATCAAACCCTTTAACTATGAAGCATTTGGGGTTACAGGCTGGAAGTAATGTCTGATCCAGTCTGATTTAGTTTTTGTCAGTGGCTCTGCAGTAGCTTTTATGCATGTTACGCAAGATTATTTTGTGACCAGAGTTCTTTTTACTTCGGCGGAGCGCGAAGTAAAGGATTCGCGACGCTCAGGAATGTATCAAAGTTGCCATTTTTTGACAAGATTGGGCAAGCAAAGTCTGTAGGTTTTCGGTTCTATTCGGCTATTTGACGAAGTGAGAGCCGAATTAGTTCGAGATATCTCGAGATCACTTCGATTTCTTTGATTTATGCTTTAACTTTTTCGAGGAAGAAAGAATTATTATTTTGGCTTTCCCAGGGTGTGAACCGAGTCACCTGTGTGACCTGTCAGGTCAGAGGCGACTCTAAGTTGAGGGATTAGCCGATTGCGCTACTGCGACCCAAGGTAGTTTGGGATATGAAAAGTAGTTATCAAATGATGCACTAGTTTCGGGACAAGATTGGGCGTGCAAGTTTGTGACTTTTCGGCTTGTTTCAACTATTTCACGAAATGAGACCGGACTACTTCGTGATATCTTGAGATCACTTCGAGTTTAGTCTTTAATTACTCGAGGAACAAGTAGAGGATATTTCGTTGCCACGCAGGCACACAAAATGTCTCTTTGAGTGTTGAAAAACAGTTCACGAGTGAGCCCTCCTTTTGAACTGTTTTATGATGAATTTAAAGTTACAAAATGCTGCACAAAAACATTTTGTCTTTGTTGAGTGTTACGTAGTAAAATTGCTTTCATGCGTTGTGTGACTTTCTCGAACGTCCTCTACATTTTTAGATTAGCCATGAATAATTAATTAGGGCATGTTTACATTTCAGCATGAGTCAGCAGATTTGCATCAGCTACTGAAATCATAAAATATGTCGAAAAGCTTCTACTATTCGCTGTTTAGTATTTTCTAGAACCTTATGTCAAACGGTATTCAAGTTCCAAGCGAGTTCTTTTGACGAAGTAAGTTTTTTCCCACGAACTGGACTGCTGGGTTTAGTCAAGTGTGACGAAGGTTGATTTTCAGGCTCTGTGTTTACAAGTTCGCGGAAGCCGTAAGATATCTGAAGTTCAAGTGAGAGTTTGTTGTTATTGGTAGAGGCTGTTTAGTTTTACTCAAAGTTCAAGTCAAGTTTGTGTTGGTGGATGCTGTGTTTTAAAGCTCTGTAAGGGCTATGTTCCTTTGGTGTTAAACTTCCTTGTGTTAATCCGACATCCCTGCGTGCTGATAGTCAGTGAATAATTATCCTCAAAACATTTGAACTCATGACTTTGAGTTTTAGCCAATTCCATGCTCAACGTAAATGACTCCTTACCCATGCCTTACATATCTTTAATCAGTACATGAGACTGCCATGCTGTTTATGAAGCCTGATGTGACTAAGAAAAATAGAGAATTGTTTTCTTAGAAGGATTTGTATGGAGTCATCAGAGCATAACTGGGCTAATATCTCGGAGACAATTTTTCCCGAAATGCTAGTTTTTGGCAAGTAGGCCTCTTGGATGTTGCTCTTTTCAGAATATCCTGACAAATCCCATAATTTTACAAATTAACACCTTACTCTTACCATATTTGATTTCTGACTATTCCTCCGCATTTACAATTAATTAGTTCCACAACCACGATGCCAAAGTGTACACTCCGTAGCGTCTTGTTTTGTAATGTTTGTCTCTGAATATTCTTTTGACTCTACTGCATTGGTGACATGTTCTCAAGGGCCATTCAGATACAAAAGTTTAGTTTAGTATCTGAGGCAGTTAAGAATTATCTGGTGTAAAAAAGTAGGTGTGCATAGATCCAAGGATGAACTTCACCCTGTTTTTTTTTTCTCTAATTAGTAGCATATCCCAGGAGTAAACCTTAATGAATACTCCCAGGGAAAGGATGTCTTTACCTTAGGTCCAGTGATTGTTTTTATGCAGGACTCTTGCACCTTGCTGAATGTCCCAGACGTTTTTCTTGGTATTACATGTATAGTGAGCCAAAGGCTTATATTAGAATACAAGTCATGTAAAAGAGATTCGTGGCTTAAGGACTCTTAGAGTAAGGTAGCTTACAACAAGTTCTTTAATTACATGTAACTTCTTTTTTAACAGGTTTAAGCACATGCATATCAGGTCAAATGCAGAGTCAATTGCATTTTATAGGTCTTATTTATTGGAGAAAAGAAAAACTAATTCACGATTAACGGTATGTTTACAAAGTTAGTACGTACTTCCTGTTTGCTGCTACATGTAACTTTAAACATTAACTATGTTTTGTACTAGTATATTAGTATATTGTATTGTGGTCTCAAGTCCAGCAAGTTGCCTGGAATTTCTGTTGCGATCTTGCTGTTGGAAGTTAAATAATCTATCACCATCATGGAAATGGTCAGAGTGATTTTGTGAACGTACATTACATGTAAAAAGCCGACTAAATACATGTGACTATAGGAGATTTTAAGGAATTTCCTGGTCTGGGGCCTGTGTCTTGAAAGGCCTGGAAACTTTTCAGGCCGACGAAAAATTTTAAAATCCACTCCTGTTGAATAGAAGCACAGTTCCTGGCACACAAACAGGTCAAAATGTTTTGCTTGGTTTACTGATAGTTTCTTGTATGAAATCTTTTCAAAATTATTGAAACTTTGATCTTTGGTCTTTGATCTTAAATGCAAACACAACTGAGCAAGATGAACTAAGATGACAACAGTCGTAAAATAAGTTTCTATATTTTGTAACATTTTATTTGTAATAACCTCAATACATCTTCCTGTGTCATTTATACAGATTTATCTTCCTTTTCCTTTCCTCTCCTTAAATACTTTATGTTTTCCTCTGCCTGCCTTGATTAGCCAAGCTATTTGTGAGAAGTGGATATTCGCGTGTACATGTTTGTTTTAATTTAATTTAATTCAATTTAATTAATAACTTATAAAGATCAATCAATTGCAACTTAACCTAAAACAGCTCTTTGGGCGTGAAAGTAAACGAGACTGTTTAATTCCAAGAAACAGGCCCCTGGACCCTACATAATAAACCTCTTGCCACCTCTTGTTTTGGGCAACTCACATTCTCCACTTTTTGTTAAACATTCTTATCTTCTTTCCTTTTTAGGAGCTTCTTCAAACACAGCAACGAATTGTCAACTTTGAGAGTATTCTTTTCTGTAAGTATTTTTTTTTAACCCTTTCACTGCTTTCTAGAACAAGTTTTTTTGACATGATTTGCCACCCACCCCAATGAAAACAATTAATTTATAATAGCCCTTTTCTTTCCCCCTTTCCTTCCAATGGAAAAAAGGGAATATCCTTTGTCTCTCTCTCCAAAAAGTACTCTTGTCCCTATTTTCACTGTTGTCAAGTGCTGTTGTCACTGTTGTCGCTGTTAACACTGTTGTCACTGTTGTCGCTGTTGTCACTGTTGTAAATGTTGTCACTGTTGTAACTGTTGTCACTTTTGTCTTGTTGTCACTGCTCACTGTTGTCATTGTTGTCGCTGTTGACACTGTTGTTTCTGTGAACACTGTTGTCACTGTTGTCGCTGTTGTCACTATTGTCGCTATTATCACTGTTGTCGCTATTATCAATGTTGACATTGTTGTGACTTTGTCGTTGCTGTTGTCACTGTTCTCGCTGTCATAACTGTTGTCACTGTTGTTGCTGTTGTCACAGTTGTCTCTATTCTCACTGTTGTCACTGTTGACAAAGTTCTCGATGTTGTCGCTGTTGTAGCTGTGGTCTCTGTTGTTGCTGTTGTCACCGTTGTCGCTGTTCTCACCGTTGTCACTGTTGTCACCGTTGACGCTGTTGTCACTGGTGTCACCGTTGTCACTGTTGTCACCCTTGTCACTGTTGTCACTGTTTTCACTGCTCTCACCGTTGTCACTGTAGTCAGCATTGTCACTGTTGTCACTGTTGTCGCTGTTGTCACTGTTATCACTCTTGTCACCGTTGTCACTGTTGTCACCATTGACGCTGTTGTCACTGTTGTCACTGTTGTCGCTGATGTCACTTGTTGCTGTTGTCACTGTTGTCACTGTTGTCACCGTTGTCACTGTTGTCACCGTTGTCACTCTTGTCGCTGTTGTCACTCTGGTCGCTGTTGTCACCGTTGTCACTTTTGTCACCATTGACGCTGTTGTCACTGTTCTCACTGTTGTCACTGTTGTCGCTGTTGTCACCGTTGTCAGTTTTGTCACCGTTGACGCTGTTGTCACTGTTGTCACCGTTGTCACTGTTGTCACTGCTGTCACTCTTGTAACTGTTTTCACCATTGACACTGTTGTCACTGTTGTTGCTGTTGTCACTCTGGTCGCTGTTGTCACCGTTGTCACTTTTGTCACCATTGACGCTGTTGTCACTGTTCTCACCGTTGTCACCGTTGTCACTGTTGTCGCTGTTGTCACCGTTGTCAGTTTTGTCACTGTTGACTCTGTTGTCACTGTTGTCACCGTTGTCACTGTTGTCACTGCTTTCACTCCTGTCACTGTTGTCACCGTTGTCACTGTTGTCACTGTTGTCGCTATTGTCACCGGTGACACTGTTGTCACTGTTGTGACCGTTGTCGCTGTTGTCACCATTGTCACTGTTGTCACTGTTGTCACTGTTCTCACCATTGTCGCTGTTGTCACTTTTGTCACCGTTGTCCCTGTTGTCACTGTTGTCGCTGCTGTCACCGTTGTCACTGTTGTCACCGTCGTCACTTTTGTCACTGTTGACGCTGTTGTTGCTGTTGTCACTGTTTTCACTGTTGTCGCTGTTGTCACCGTTGTCACTGTTGTCATCGTTGTCAATGTTGTCACTGTTGTCACTGTTTTCACTGCTGCCACCGTTGTCACTGTAGTCACCGTTGTCACTGTTCTCGCTGTTGTCACTGTCGTCACTGTCGTCACTGTTGTCGCTGTTGTCACTGTCGTCACTGTCGCTACTGTTGTCACCGTTAATGCTGCTGTCACTGTTGTCACTTTTGTTGCTGTTCTCACCATTGTCGCTGTTGTCACCGTTGTCACCGTTGTCGCTCTTGTCACCGGTGACACTGTTGTCACTGTTGTGACCGTTGTCGCTGTTGTGACCGTTGTCACTATTGTCACTGTTCTCACCGTTGTCATTGTTGTCGGTGTTGTCACTGTTGTCTCCGTTGTCACCTTTATCGCTGCTGTCACCATTCTCACGATTGTCACCATTTTCACTTTTCTCACTGTTGTCGCTGTTGTCACTGTTGTCACCGTTGTCACCGTTGTCACTATTGTTACCGTTGTCACTGTTGTCACCGTTTTCACTTTTGTCACAGTTGACGCTGTTGTCACGGTTATCACTGTTGTCACTGTTGTCACCGTTGTTACTGTTGTCACCATTGTCACTGTTGTCTCCGTTGACGTTGTTGTCACAGTTGACGCTGTTGTCACGGTTATCACTGTTGTCACTGTTGTCACCGTTGTTACTGTTGTCACCATTGTCACTGTTGTCTCCGTTGACGTTGTTGTCACTGTTGTCACTGTTGTCACTGTTGTCATCGTTGACGCAGTTGTCACTGTTTTCATCGTTGTCGCTGGTGTCACTGTTGTCACTGTTGTCAGTGTGGTCACCGTTGTCACTGTTGGCACCATTTACGCTTTTGTCACTGTTGTCGCTGTTGTCACTGTTGTCACCGTTGTCACTGTTGTCACTGTTGTCACCATTTTCACGGCTGTCTAGGTTGTCACCATTGTCACTGTTATCACCGTTGTTACTCTTGTCACCGTTGTCACCGTTGTCAGTATTGTCACTGTTGTCACCGTTATCACTTGTTTCACTCTTGTAACTGTTGTCACTGTTGTCACCGTTGTCACTGCTGTCACTGCCGTCACTGTTGTCACTTTTCTCACCGTTGTCACTGTTTTCACTGTTGTCGCTGCTGTCATTGTTGTCACTGTTGCCACTCTTGACGGTTGTCACTGTTGTCACCGTTGTCACTGTTCTCACCGTTGTCACTGTTGTCACTGTTGTCACTGTTGTCACTATTGTCAATGTTGTCACTGTTGTCGCTGTTGTCATCGTTGTCGTTTTTTGTCACCGTTGACGCTCTTGTAACCGTTGTCACTGTTGTCACCGTTGTCACTGTTGTCACTGCTGCCACTGCTGGCACTCTTGTCACTGTTCTCACCGTTGTCACTGTTGTTACTATTGTCAATGTTGTCACTGTTGTCGCTGTTGTCACCGTTGTCGATCTTGTCACCGGTGACAATGTTGTCACTGTTGTGACCGTTGTCGCTGTTGTCACTGTTCTCACCGTTGTCATTGTTGTCGGTGTTGTCACTGTTGTTTCCGTTGTCACTGTTGTCACTTTTGTCGCTTCTGTCACCGTTGTCACTGTTGTCACCATTTTCACTTTTGTCACTGTTGACGCTGTTGTCACTGTTGTCACTGTTGTCACCGTTGTCACTGTTGTCACAGTTGTCACTGTTTCCACTGTTGTCACCGTTGTCACTGTTTTCACTTTTGTCACTGTTGACACTGTTGTCACTGTTGTCACTGTTGTCACTGTTGACGCTGTTGTCACTGTTGTCACTGTTGTCACCGTTGTCACTGTTGTCACTGTTGTTACTGTTGTCACCGTTGTCACTGTTGTCCATGTTGTCACTGCTTTCACTGCTCTCACTGTTGTCACCGTTGTATCTGTTTTTACTGTTGTCAATGTTGTCACTGTGGTCACCGTTGTATCTGTTGTCACTGTTGTCACTGTTGACGCGGTTGTCACTGTTGTCACTGTTGTCACCGTTGATGCTGTTGTCACTGTTGTTGCTCTTGTCACTGTTGTCACCGTTGACGCAGTTGTCACTGTGGTCACCATTGTCACTGGTGTCTCCATTGATGCTTTTGTCACTGTTGTCACTGTTGTCACGGTTATCACTGCTGTCACAGTTGTCACCATTGTCACTGTTGTCACGGTTCCCACTGTTGTCACTGTTGTCACGGTTGTCACTGTTGTCACTGTTGTCAGCGTTGTCACTTGTTTCACTGTTGTAATCATTGTCACTGTTGTCATGGTTGTCACTGCTGTCACTGCTCTCACTGTTGTTACTGTTGTCACCATTGTCACCGTTTTCACTGTTGTCACCGCTGTCACCGTTGTCACTGTTTTCACCGTTGTGACTGTTCTCACTGTTGTCACCGTTGACGCGGTTTTCACTGTTGTCACTGTTGACGCTGTTGGTTATCACTGTTGTTGCTCTTGTCACTGTTGTCACCGTTGACGCAGTTGTCACTGTTTTCACTGTTGATGCGGTTGTCACTGTTGTCACTGTTTTCACTGTTGACGCTGTTCTAACTGTTCTTGCTCTTGTCACTGTTATCACTGTTGTCACCGTTGACGGAGTTTTCACTGTCGTCACCGTTGTCACTGTTGTCACTGTTGTTTCTCTTGTCACTGTTGTCACCGTTGTCACTGTTGTCACTGTTGTCACCGTTGTCACTGTTGTCACTGTTGTCACCGTTGTCACTGTTGTCACTGTTTTCACCATTTTCACTGTTTTTACTGTTGTCACCGTTGTCACTGTTGTCACCGTTGTCACTGTTGTCACTGTTTTCACTGTTGTTGCGGTTGTCACTGTTGTCACTGTTTTCACTGCTGTCACGTTTGTCACCGTTGTCACTGTTGTCACAGTTGTTACTGTTGTCACTATTTTTACTGCTGTCACAGGTGTCACTGTTGTCACTGTTGTCACCGTTGTCACTTTTTTCACTGTTGTCGCTGCTGTCAACGTTGTCGCTGTTGTCACTGTTGTCACTGTTGACTTGGTTGTTACTGTTGTCACTGTTGTCACCTCTGTCACAGTTGTCGCCGTTGTCACCGTTGTCACTGTTGTCACCGTTGTCACCGTTGTCACTGTTGTCCCTGTTGTCACTGCTGTCACAATTCTCACCGTTGTCACTGTTGTCACTGTTGTCACTGCTGTCACAGTTGTCACTGTTGTCACCATTGTCACTGTTGTCACTGTTGTCGCTGTTGTCACTGCTGTCACAGTTGTTACTGTTGTCGCTGTTGTCACTGTTGTCGCTGTTGTCACCGTTGTCACTGTTTTCACTTTTGCCACCGTTGTCACTGTTGTCACTGTTTTCACTTTTTTCACTTTTGTCACTGTTGACGCTGTTGTCACTGTTGACGCTGTTGTCACAGTTGTCACTGTTGTCACCGTTGTCACTGTTGTCACTGTTGTTACTGTTGTCACCGTTTCCACCGTTGTCACTGTTGTCACCATTTTCACTGCTGTCACGGTTGTCACCGTTGTCACTGTTGTCACCGTTGTCACTGTTGTCACCGTTGTTACTGTTGTCACTATTTTTACTGCTTTCACAGGTGTCACTGTTGTCACTGTTGTCACCGTTGTCACTTTTTTCACTGTTGTCGCTGCTGTCACCGTTGTCACTGTTGTTACTGTTGTCGCTGTTGTCACTGTTGTCACTGTTGACTTGCTTGTCACTGTTGTCACTGCTGTCACAGTTGTCGCCGTTGTCACTGTTTTCACCGTTTTCACTGTTGTCACCGTTGTCACTGTTGTCGCTGTTGTCACTGCTGTCACAATTGTCACCGTTGTTACTGTTGTCACTGTTGTGACTGTTGTCGCTGTTGTCACCATTGTCACTGTTGTCACTGTTGTCACCGTTGTCACTGTTTTTACTGTTGTCGCTGTTGTCACTGCTGTCACAGTTGTCACTGTTGTCGCTGTTGTCACTGTTGTCGCTGTTCTCACCGTTGTCACTGTTTTCACTGTTGCTACCGTTGTCACTGTTGTCACTGTTTTCACTTTTGTCACTTTTGACGCTGTTGTCACTTTTGTCACTGTTGACGCTGTTGTCACTGTTGTCACTGTTGTCACCATTGTCACTGTTGTCACTGTTGTTACTGTTTTCACCGTTCTCACTGTTGTCCATGTTGTCACTGCTGTCACTGGTGTCACTGTTGTCACCATTGTCACTGTTTTTACTGTTGTCAATGTTGTCACTGTGGTCACCGTTGTATCTGTTGTCACTGTTGTCACTGTTGACGCAGTTGTCACTGTTGTCACTGTTGTCACTGTTGTCACCGTTGATGCTGTTGTGACTGTTGTTGCTCTTGTCACTGTTGTCACCATTGATGCTTTTGTCACTGTTGTCACTGTTGTCACTGTTGTCACGGTTGCCACTGTTGTCACTGTTGTGATGGTTGTCACTGTTGTCAGCGTTGTCACTTGTTTCACTGTTGTGACCATTATCACTGTTCTCATGGTTGTTAGTGCTGTCACTGCTCTCACTGTTGTTACTGTTGTCACCATTGTCACCGTTTTCACTGTTGTCGCTGCCGTCATCGTTGTCACTGTTTTCACCGTTGTCACTGTTCTCACTGTTGTCACCGTTGACGCGGTTTTCACTGTTGTCACTGTTGACGCTGTTGGTTATCACTGTTGTTGCTCTTGTCACTGTTGTCACCGTTGACGCAGTTGTCACTGTTTTCACTGTTGATGCTGTTCTAACTGTTGTTGCTCTTGTCACTGTTATCACTGTTGTCACCGTTGACGCAGTTTTCACTGTTGTCACCGTTGTCACTGTTGTCACTGTTGTTTCTCTTGTCACTGTTGTCACCGTTGTCAATGTTGTCACTGTTGTCACCGTTGTCACTGTTTTCACTGTTGATGCGGTTGTCACTGTTGTCACTAATGTCACTGTTTTCACTGCTGTCACGGTGTTCACCGTTGTCACTGTTGTCACCGTTGTTACTGTTGTCACTATTTTTACTGCTGTCAAAGGTCTCACTGTTGTCACTGTTGTCACCGTTGTCACTTTTTTCAGTGTTGTCGCTGCTGTCACCGTTGTCACTGTTGTCACCGTTGTCGCTGTTCTCACTGTTGTCACTGTTGACTTGGTTGTTACTGTTGTCACTGTTGTCACCGCTGTCACAGTTGTCGCCGTTGTCGCCGTTGTCACCGTTGTCACCGTTGTCACCGTTCTCACTGTTGTCGCTGTTGTCACTGCTGTCACAATTGTCACCGTTGTCACTGTTGTCACTGCTGTCACAGTTGTCACTGTTGTCACCATTGTCACTGTTGTCGCTGTTGTCACTGCTGTCACAGTTGTTACTGTTGTCGCTGTTGTCACTGTTTTCACCGTTGTCACTGTTTTCACTGTTGTCACCGTTGTCACTGTTGTCACTGTTTTCACTTTTGTCACTGTTGACGCTGTTGTCACTGTTGTCACTGTTGACGCTGTTGTCACTGTTGTCACTGTTGTCACCGTTGTCACTGTGTTCACTGTTGTTACTGTTGTCACCGTTTCCACCGTTGTCACTGTTGTCACCATTTTCACTGCTGTCACGGTTGTCACCGTTGTCACTGTTGTCACCGTTGTCACTGTTGTCACCGTTGTTGCTGTTGTCACTACTTTTACTGCTTTTACAGGTGTCACTGTTGTCACTGTTGTCACCGTTGTCACTTTTTTCACTGTTGTTGCTGCTGTCACCGTTGTCACTGTTGTCGCTGTTGTCACTGTTGTCACTGTTGACTTCGTTGTCACTGTTGTCACTGTTGTCACCGCTGTCACAGTTGTTGCCGTTGTCACTGTTTTCACTGTTGCCACCGTTGTCACTGTTGTCACTGTTTTCACTTTTGTCACTGTTGACGCTGTTGTCACTGTTTACGCTGTTGTCACTGTTGTCACTGTTGTCACCGTTGTCACTGTTGTCACTGTTGTTACTGTTGTCACCGTTGTCACTGTTGTCCATGTTGTCAGTGCTGTCATTGGTGTCACTGTTGTCACCGTTGTCACTGTTTTTACTGTTGTCAATGTTGTCACGGTGGTCACCATTGTATCTGTTGTCACTGTTGTCACTGTTGACGCAGTTGTCACTGTTGTCACTGTTGTCACTGTTGTCACCGTTGATGCTGTTGTGACTGTTGTTGCTCTTGTCACTGTTGTCACCGTTGATGCTTTTGTCACTGTTGTCACTGTTGTCACGGTTTCCACCGTTGTCACTGTTGTGATGGTTGTCACTGTTGTCAGCGTTGTCACTTGTTTCATTGTTGTCACCATTGTCACTGTTCTCATGGTTGTCACTGCTGTCACTGCTGTGACTGTTGTTACTGTTGTCACCATTGTCACCGTTTTCACTGTTGTCACTGCTGTCACTGTTTTCACTGTTGTCGCTGCTGTCACCATTGTCACTGTTGTCACTGTTGTCGCTGTTGTCACTATTGTCACCGCAGTCACTGTTGTTACTTCTGTCACTGCTTTCACGGTTGTCACAGTTTTCACTGTTGTCAGTGTTGTCAATGCTGTCGCTGTTGTCGCTGTTGTCACCGTTGTCGCTCTGGTAACCGGTGACACTGTTGTCACCGTTGTCGCGGTTGTCACCGTTGTCACTCTTGTCACTATTGTCAATGTTGTAACTGTTGTCGCTGTTTTCACCGTTGGCGCTCTGGTTACCGGTCACACTGTGTTCACCGTTGTCACTGTTGTCACTGTTGTCGCGGTTGTCACCGTTTTTACTGTTGTCACTGTTTTCACTGTTGTCGCTGCTGTCACCGTTGTCACCGTTGTCACTTTTGTCACTGTTGTCACTGTTGTCACCGTTGACGTACTTGTCACTGTTGTCACTGTTGTCACTGTTGTCACCGTTGTCACTGCTGTCAGTGCTTTCAGTCTTGTCACTGTTGTCACGGTTGTCACCGTTGCCACTGTTGTCGCTGTTGTCACTGCTGTCACAGTTGTCACCGTTGTCACTGTTGTCACCATTGTCACCGTTGTCACCTTTGTTACTGTTGTTACTATTTTCACTGCTGTCACAGTTCTCACCGTTGTCACTGTTATCGCTGTTGTCACCGTTGTAACTGTTGTCGCTGTTGTCACCGTTGTCACTGTTGTCACTGTTGTCACTGTTGTCACTGCTGTCACAGTTGTCACCGTTGTCACTGTTGTCACCGTTGTCACTGTTGTCACCGTTGACGCTGTTGTCACTGTTGTTGCTTTTGTCACTGTTGTCACTGTTGTCACCGTTGACTTAGTTGTCACTGTTGTCACCGTTGTCACTGTTGTCATTGGTGTCACTTTTGTCACTGTGTTCACCGTTGTCACTGTGTTCACCGTTGACGCTTTTGTCACTGTTGTCACTGTTCTCACCGTTGGCACTGTTGTCACTGTTATCACTGTTTTTGCTGTTGTTACTGTTGTCACTGTTGCCACCGTTGTCACTGTTGTCACTATTTTCACTGCTGTCACGGTTGTCACCGTTGTCACTGTTGTCACCGTTGTTACTGTTGTCACTATTTTCACTGCTGTCACAGTTGTCACCGTTGTCACTGTTGTCACCGTTGTCACTGCTGTCACTCTAGTCACTGTTGTCACCGTTGTCACTGTTTTCACTGTTGTCGCTCCTGTCACCGTTGTCACTGTTGCACCCTTGTCGCTGTTGTCACTGTTGTCGCTGTTGACGTGGTTGTCTCTGTTTTCACTGTTGTCACTGTTGTCACCGCTGTCACGGTTGTCACCGTTGTCACTGTTGTCACCGTTGTCACTGTTGTCACTGTTGTCACTGCTGTTACAGTTGTCACCGTTGTCACTGTTGTCACCGTTGTCACTGTTGTCGCTGTTGTCACTGCTGTGACAGTTGTCACTGTTGTCGCTGTTGTCACCATTGTCATTGTTGTGACTGTTGTCACCGTTGTCACTGTTGATGTGGTTGTCACTGTTGTCACCGTTGTCACTGTTGTCACCGTTGTCGCTGTTGTCGCTGTTGTCGCTGTTGTCACTGCTCTCACAGTTGTCACCGTTGTCACTGTTTTCACTGTTGTCACCGTTGTCACCGTTGTCACTGTTGTCACCATTGTCACTGTTGTCGCTGTTGTCACTGCTGTCACAGTTGTCACTGTTGTCACTGTTGTCACCGTTGTCACTGTTGTCACCGTTGTCACTGTTGTCACTGTTGTCACTGTTGTCACAGTTGTCACTGTTGTCACCGTTGTCACTGTTTTCACTGTTGTCACCGTTGTCACTGTTGTCACCATTGTCACTGTTGTCGCTGTTGTCACTGCTGTCACAGTTGTCACTGTTGTCGCTGTTGTCATCATTGTCACTGTTGTCACTGTTGTCACCGTTGTCACTGTTGATGTGGTTGTCACTGTTGTCACTGTTGTCACCATTTTCACTGCTGTCACGGTTGTCACCGTTGTCACTGTTGTCGCCGTTGTTACTGTTGTCACTATTTTCACTTCTGTCACAGTTGTCACCATTGTCACTGTTGTCACCGTTTTCACTGCTGTCACTCTAGTCCATGTTGTCACCGTTGTCACTGTTTTCACTGTTGTCGCTCGTGTCACCGTTGTCACTGTTGCACCCTTGTCGCTGTTGACGTGATTGTCTCTGTTTTCACTGTTGTCACTGTTGTCACCGCTGTCACGGTTGTCACCATTGTCACTGTTGTCACCGTTGTCACTGTTGTCACTGTTGTCACGGTTGTCGCTGTTGTCACTGCTGTCAGAGTTGTCACCAATGTCACTGTTGTCACCGTTGTCACCGTTGTCACTGTTGTCACTGTTGTCACTGATGTCACTGCTGTGACAGTTGTCACCGTTGTCACTGTTTTCACTGTTGTCGCTGCTTTCACCGTTGTCACTGTTGTCACCGTTGTCACTATGGACCTTAAGATACCCTGGAGGCGGTGGTAAAGAGAACGGAGAAAGCCTGGAGCGAGGACGCCGCCAACTTCGCGGGAAAAACAAATTAAGATTGAGCAGGTTGGGTTGAGTGCTCGCCTGACGAGAGAGGATAAAGTAATGCTTTCGTGTTTTAATTCCATAACTCGTGAAGTCTTGCTTGATTGATACCTTAACGATCTTTTATTGGAAGAAAAATTTGTGCTGCCGGCTATGACTCCAGTTTCTCTAAAAAAACCCGAATTTCTTCGAGGGAAACTTGAGGGTATGATCGGAGTTCAGGTTATCAGCTATTTGTTTGTTTTTTCGCTTTCCGTTGTTCTAGATCTTTCTTTAAAACGATATGGTTCTGTTACGAGAACGTCCCGTACTAAGGCGAGATTTTGGTCTTCAGACCGCTCCATCGCTGAACTGAAAGTAAACAAAATAAAATTATAAAAGTTAATAAATGAACCATGGCGTCTTGTTCAAGATCTCAATTTTCTCCGACACGTTTAAGTTTATTACAAGCCTAGATTTTTTGTTTTTCAACAATTTTTATTCCACTTCTTGTCTCATAAAGTTTTCAAATACTATCCCAAAGCGAGAACGTTGTCCCCTTAAAAACAAGCAGTTATAGTGTTACATTTGTGTCGAACGACTCAGCACTTTCATTCTCACCTGCCGCCAAAACACTGAACCCAAAAGGCTTGATAGCAAAAAAATAAGAGGCAATCTTGAGAGAACACCTCACTAAAAACACTTAAATGTGTCTCTTGAAGTAAAACGGATCGAAAATCCTGTACGAAAAGGAATTTCTGCACTGAAAACAAGAAAACAAACTCACCGTTTTAAGAGGCGGCCAAACTTCTAGTTTTCACCGTCGCGACTTCAGGTCGACGCTGTGGCATTATGCTAATTAGTTCCAAGAATTGAACATTTCACTTCCGGTTAACGTCCTCCTCGGCCGCGTCCAGAGTATCTTAAGGTCCCTACTGTTGACGCGGTTGTCACTGTTGTCACTGCTGTCACAGTTGTCACCGTTCTCACTGTTGTCACCGTTGTCACTGTTGTCACCATTGTGACTGTTGTCACCGTTGTCACTGTTGTCGCTGTTGTCACTGCTGTCACAGTTGTCACCGTTGTCACTTTTGTCACCCTTGTCACCGTTGTCACTGTTGTCACTGTTTTCACTGTTGATGCGGTTGTCACTGTTGTCACCGTTGACGCTGTTCTCACCGTTGTCACCGTTGTCACTGTTGTCACTGTTGTCACCGTTTTCACTTTTGTCACTGTTGACGCTGCTGTCACCGTTGTCACTGTTGTCACCGTTGTCACTGTTGTCACTGTTGTCACTGTTGTCACTGTTGACACTGTTGTCACTGTTGTTGCACTTGTCACTGTTGTCACCGTTGACACACTTGTCGCTGTTGTCACGGTTGTCACTGTTGTCGCTGTTGTCACTGTTGTCACTTTTGTCACCGTTGTCACTGTTTTCACCATTGACGCTTTTGTCATCGTTGTCACTGTTGTCACCGTTTTTACTGTTGTCACTGTTGTCACCATCGACGTTTTTGTCACTGTTGTCGCTGTTGTCACTGTTGTCACCGTTGTCACTTTTCTCACTACTTTCACTGCTGTCACGGTTGTCCCCTTGTCACTGTTGTCACTATTTTCACTGCTGTCACGGTTTTCACCGTTTGCACTGCTGTCACTGTTTTCACTATTGTCACTGTTGTCGCTGTTGTCACTGTTGTCACTGTTGTCACTGTTTTCACTGTTGTCAACGTTTTCACTTTTGTCACTGTTGACGCTGTTGTCAGTGTTGTCACTGTTCTCACTGTTGACGCTTTTGTCACTGTTTTTGCTCTTGTCACTGTTGTCACTGTTGTCACCGTTGATGCAGTTGTCACTGTTGTCACCATTGTCACTGTTGTCGCTGTTGTCACTGTTGGCACTGTAGTCACCGTTGTCACTGTTGTCACTGTTGTCACTGTTGTCACTGTTGTCACTATTTTCACTGCTGGCACAGTTTTCACCGTTGTCACTGTTGTCACTGTTGTCATGGTTGTCACTGTTATCACTGTTGTCACCGTTCCCACTTCTTTCACTGTCGTCACCGTTGTCACTGTTGTCACCGTTGTCACTGCTGTCACCGTTTCACTATTGTCACTGTTCTCGATGTTGTCACCGTTGTCACTGTTTTCACTGTTGTCACCGCTGACGCGGTTGTCACTGTTGTCACTGTTGACGCTGTTGTCAGGGTTTTCACCGTTGTGACTGTTGTAACTGCTGTTCCCGTTATCACTGTTGTCACTTTTGTCGCTGCTGTCACCGTTAACACTGTTGTCACTGTTGTCACTGTTGACGCTGTTTTCACTGTTGTCACTGTTGTCACTTTTGTCACCGTTGTCACTGTTGTCACCGTTTTCAGTTTTGTCACTGTTGACGCTGTTGTCACTGTTGTCACCGTTGTCACTGTTGTCACTGTTGTCACTGTTTCATTGTTGACGCGGTTGTCACTGTTGTCACTGTTTTCACTGCTGTCACAGTTGTCACCATTGTCACTGTTGTCACCGTTTTCACTGTTGTCACTGTTGTCAGTTGTGTGACAATTGTCATCGTTGTCACGGTTGTCACCATTGTCACCGTTGTCACTGTTGTCACCGTTGTCACTATTGTCACTGTTGTCACTGCTGTCACAGTTGTCACCGTTGTCAGTGCTGTCACCGTTGTCACTGTTGGCACCGTTGTCACCGTTGTCACTGCCTTCACTTCTGTCACTGTTTTCACCGTTGTCACTGTTTTCACTGTTGTCGCTGCTGTCACCATTGTCACTGTTGGCACTGTTGACGCGGTTGTTACCGTTTTCGCTGTTGTCTCTGTTGTCACCGTTGTCAGTGTTGTCACTTCTGTCACTACTGTCGCTGTTGTCACGATTGTCACCGTTGCCACTGTTGTCAATATTGTTAATGTTGTCACTTTTTTCGCTGTTGTCACCGGCGTCGTTTTTTTGTCACCATTAACGCTGTTGTCACTGTTTTCACTGTTTTAACTGTTGTGACCGTTTTCACTGTTGTCACTGTTGTCACTGTTTTCACCGTTGTCACTATTGTCACTTCTGTCACTGCTGTCACTGTTGTCACTGTTGTCACCGTTGTCACTGTTGTCACTATTGTCAATGTTGTCACTGTTGTCGCTGTTGTCACCGTTGGTACTCTTAACACTGGTGACACTGTTGTCATCGTTCTCACTGGTGTCACCGTTGTCGCGGTTGTCACCGTTTTCACTGTTGTCACTGTTCTCACCGTTGTCATTGTTGTCGGTATTGTCACTGTTGTCTCCGTTGTCACTGTTGTCACTTTTGTCGCTGCTGTCACCGTTGTCACTGTTGTCACCATTTTCAATTTTCACACTGTTGAGGCTCTTGTCACTGTTGTCACCGTTGTCACTGTTGTCACTGTTGTCAACGTTTTCACTTTTGTCACTGTTGACGCTGTTGTCACTGTTGTCACTGTTGTTGCTCTTGTCACTGTTGTCACCGTTGACGCAGTTCTCATTCTTGTCACCCTTGTCACTGTTGTCAGTGTTGTCACCGTTGTCTCTGTTGTCACCGTTGTCACTGTTGTCACTGTTGCCACGGTTGTCACTGTTCTCACTGTTTTCACCGTTGCCACTTCTTTAAGTGTGGTCACCGTTGTCACTGTTGTCACCGTTGTCACTGCTGTCACTGTTGTCACCGTTGTCACTGTTTTCACTGTTGTTACCGCTGACGCGGTTGTCACTGTTGACGCTGTTGTCAGTGTTGCCACTGTTGTGACTGTTGTCACTGCTGTATCCGTTGTCACTGTTGTCACTTTTGTCGCTGCCGTCACCGTTAACACTGTTGTCACTGTTGTCACCATTTTCACCTTTGTCACTGTTGACGCTGTTTTCACCGTTGTCACTGTTGTCACTGTTGCCACGGTTGTCACTGTTGTCACTGTTGTCACCGTTGCCACTTTTTTTCACTGTGGTCACCGTTGTCACTGTTGTCACCGTTGTCACTGCTGTCACTGTTGTAACCGTTGTCACTGTTTTCACTGTTGTCACCGCTGACGCGGTTGTCACTTTTGTCACTGTTGACGCTGTTGTCACTGTTGTCACTGTTTTCACCGTTGTCACTGTTGTCACCGTTCTTACGGTTGGCACCGTTGTCACTGTTTTCACCGTTGTCACTGCTGTCACTGCGGTCACAGTTGTCACCGTTGTCACTGGTGTCACCGTTGTCACTGTTGTCACTCTTGTCACCGTTGTCACTTTTGTCACTGTTGTCACCGTTGTCACTGCTGTCATTGCTGTCACTGGTGTCACTGTTGTGACCGTTGTCACTGTTTTTACCGTTGTCACTGCTGTCACCGTTGTCACTGTTGTGACTGTTATTACTGCTGTCCCCGTTATCACTGTTGTCACTTTTGTCACTGCTTTCAACGTTAACACTGTTGTCACTGTTGTCACCATTTTCACGGTTGTCACTATTGTCACTGTTGACGCTGTTGTCAGGGTTGTCACCGTTGTGACTGTTGTCACTGCTGTCCCTGTTATCACTGTTGTCACTTTTGTCGCTGCTGTCACCGTGAACACTGTTGTCACTGTTGTCACCATTTTCACTTTAATCACGGTTGACGCTGTTTTCACTGTTGTCACTTTTGGCACCGTTGTCACTGTTGTCACTGTTGACGCTGTTTTCACTGTTGTCACTGTTGTCACTTTTGTCACCGTTGTCACTCTTGTCACAGTTTTCAATTTTTTTCACTGTTGACGCTGTTGTCACTGTTGTCACTGTTGTCACCATTGTCACTGTTGTCACCGTTCTTACTGTTGGCACCGTTGTCACTGTTGTCACCGGTGTCACTGCTGTCACTGCTGTCACAGTTGTCACCTTTGTCACTGCTGTCACCG